TCTAAGGATGACTAAAACATCCCAGAAGCATGACAAAGTAGAGGAAATAGTCTTTACTCAAGTCCCTGTTCAGAAGGAATATTCTGAGAAGTCACTTGGAGTAGGGGATGAGAACTTCAAGGAGGAAAGTCAGGCCACAAGTTATGGGCTGGCTGCCCAACATCCATCCACCCTAAGTTATTAGTCAAATTCAATCAGCTGTGCTGCTCCCATTTGACTTAACGGGAATTGGCTAGACTTTAGCTGCTAAAGAATGGCTATGTGACCTGATTTTGGCCAGTGAGATATGAGCAGAAGGGTCTTTTTGCTTTCAAGAAGAGACACAGTGAAGAGCTCTTCTCTGGGGCTGTTATGCTTGGTGGCTGGAGCTGTGGCAGCCATCTTATGATCATGGAGTAGGCCACACTAAGGAAAACATTCCCTGCTGAAGTTAACATACACTTAAAAGATTTGCTCGAATTGTTGGGTTAGTGAACCCAGGAACCTGCCCTGCCTCTGGAGGTCTTGCTATTTGAGGTAATAAATGTCCTTGTTTAAAGCTTTGAGGGGAGATTTTTTGTTGTTGTTATTTACAACCAGAGGTTTCTTAATGGATGAATGTTGAGGGGCTGCAACTGCTCCCTCTGAGGAGTGTGGCTGTAGATAACCATCTGGAGGGGCTGTTGTCAGCTCAGTAGGGTAAAGGTTAGGGCTGGAACGGGGTTCCCTGAGACAGCAGAGGGCCGCTGTTGCTCATTCTTTCCCTGGAAACCTACCTCTCCTCTTGTGAATGAACAAACATGGAAAGAAGAGATCCCCCCTCCACCTCCCACTGCTGGCCCTGCACCTTGTATGTTTTGATGGGGCTGTTTTGTCTCTACTCTGGATCTGGTGTCAACTGTCCACGTCCCTCAACCCCTCCACAGATCATCTTACATCACCTTACACAAACCTCATTATGAAAAAGGCCCTGATACTTGTCCCAATTTCTAAAATCACAGCAGCCAAAATGAAACTCTTCCAGAGCCCCAAAATGATAAACTGCTTCAGCCCAGCTGCAGATTTTGTATTTTCTGATGCAGACTTTTTAAAAGGTGGGCCCATGAACTGTTTTTAACTGAGGGTTTCAAAATGGCTGCCTGCTCCTGACAAGAGGGGTCAGGGCTGCCTCGGCCTGGTCTACTTGTACTCAGGCCAAGGCCGTGGCTAGTCCTGCCAGACACAGCTCTGCAAGCACTTGGGTGCTGAGGCTGCTGCCATGGCCCTCTCTTCATTGTTTAGGGGCGCTGTTGTCATTGCTTCTCTAGTTGTGGGGCTGAGAAATCCCAGGGCAGCACACCCAGGCCCTCTGGGCTACAGTTCCTTGAGTGCAGAGTCCAGGCTGCCTCCTGTGAGCCTCCCAGGGCCTGGCAGGGGCATACCCATCATCACCCCCTGCCCCTGCCCCCTTAGCATGTGTGATTCTTTCCTCCCTCCTGTGGCTGCTTGGGCAGGAAGGAGTTGGTCCTGAGACACAAGCTGAGCCAAGTGGGGTCTGGGAGTTTTGAACTGGGGAAAACATGTGCATCTGGACATGCTACACAAGGCCTGAAGCCTGGCTAACGTCCTGCTCTTGGATTTCACAAGGTTGTGTCTGGATTTTCCCAATAAACCATTTGCACATCTTTTAGGTGGATCACAATTCTTTCAACCCATTGGTTTGTGACTCCACAAGACACCCAGTGGATATTTGTTCTAAACTCCTATGTTCGTATCTTTCACCAGCATCCTTCCTAGCCTGATGTACACAGTGGGGCCAAATAAAACCAAATGAATTAGGATTGCCCCCTGTTTACTGAGACCCATCATATTTGAACTTACTAAAAATGTAGATTCTTGGCCCTGGCTCTAGGAATTCTGCTACAGTAGGTTAGGACAGGGCCTAGGACGTTGCATTTTGAAGAGGAAACAAAGGGATTTTAGGATTCCAGTTTAAGAAATGCTTTTAATCTTCAAAGAAACTTAGAAGACAGTATGGTAGCCAGCTTCCATGATGGCCCCTAATAATCCTTGATTCCTGGTGTCTACACCCTTGTGTAGTCCCTTCCCACACTGAATCATAACACTAAATCATTTCTGTGGCCAAGAAAATACTGTGGAAGTGACAGTGGTCATAGACCGTAGAAAATCTCCCAAATCTAGGTCACAGAAGACACTGCAGCCTCTGCCTTCCTGACTTTTAGCTGCCATGTTGTTCGGACACCCGAGCAGCCCTGTGCAGGGGCCCACTTGCAGAGAAACTGAAGCCCCTAGCCGAAGCCAGCCCTGGCTTGCCAGCCACGTGGGTGCACCACCCAGGAAACAGATTCTCCAGGTACAGAATAGCCTGCCTGCCTGACAGTTTACTGTAACCTCATAAGAGACCTAGAAGCCAGAACCACCCAGTCAAGACACCCCCAGATTCCCAGAGATTGTGAGATGTTTATTGTCTCAAGCCACTTAGTTTTAGTGTTATTTTTTATTCAATAAGAGGGCAAGTGTATGTAGATACTATTTTGATCATATCCATTTTACAGATAAGGAAACTGAGTCTTATTGAAGGGCCCTGGATTACCTGATACTGGAGAGCCAGACCCAGGTCAGGCTGAGTTCAAACCCAGTGCTCTTAACCACACTCCGGGCAGAAGAATGTCACAGATCATTAAGGAGATCATCTGCTTTATCTCTTCATTGTGGCCCCGGGGAAGCTGACCTGGGGTGGGGAGCTGCCTTGGCCACGTGTTCCCATCCCTGCTCTTGTGTTTGGAGAAGTTCTGGCAAAGGCAGTTCAGTATCTATAGCAACACACACCCTGTGCCTTTGATTACATAGCCTTGGCCTTTAGCTTGAGCTCTAGAATAGTTGCCCCAGTGGTCCTGGGCCAGTCAGCCCAGAGAGGTCTGGCTTTTTTGTTCACTAGGAGGTGATGGGAAGCAGGCTGCAGGCCCAACGGAGGAGCTTAACCAGGAGGTAAAGGAGGGTAGGGGTGGGAAGTAAGGACCACAGAGGCCCGAGGGTCAGGGCTATTGGTGGGAGTGGGCCCTGCCACTCTCCTCTGCCCACCGTCTCCCCAGGCAGATGGAATCTCCTAACTTCCTGCAAAAGTGCACATCTGACCATAGCAATGCCCTGCCTCACACCCTCCATGGCTCCCCAGTGCCCTCAGGAGAAAGGCATATGTCCCAGCATGCCCCAAGGGGCTTCAAGATCTGGTCCTGGTCCCTCTGCCTCCACCCCACACCTCGAATTCCTGCCTCCTATGGCCTGGTTTCCCCATATTCTTGTCCGTATCCCATGTCTTGCCTGCTACTCCTTCTGTCCTCCTTCTCTGCCTCTCCTGTAACTCCTATTGCCTTTCAGGTGTCAGCTGGCACGACTCCTCCAGGAAGCCTTCCTGGGCCTCACTACTCGTGCTCTCATGGTCCCTCCCACCCCGTTTCTACCACTGAAGCACTGTGCACACAGTAGGTACTTAATGAGTACTTATTGCTGGAACAGATGCCAAGTTCCCAGCTCAGCTCTCTGCCCTCCTCTGTCCCTTGAGCTGAACCCACCTCCTTCTTCAGGTTTTCCCTGCCTTCTCATTGCTCTCTGGTCTCTCCACTCCCAGCTCCCCTGTGAGCCCTGGTTCAGATTCCTACATTTCTGTGTTGTTGCTGCATTTCCCACTCCAGGTGGGCAGTGACTGCAGACACAATGTCAAAACCAAAGCCAGAATGGGTCTTTGGTTCCCAGGGCCTGGGCACCTGCTTCTGCACATCCTTAGGTGGCTTGTGTGCAGATGTGGCTTCTCCTCCACCCCTGCCCCGCCCCCCACACCATGGGGCCACATCCTGGGGGTTTCCGACCTCTCTGGAGCTGCAAACTAAGGGTCCAAAGGGCCAGTCCTTGGCTTTACTTAATTTGAATCTTTACAACCAACTCCTAAGGAAGTTGCCATTATCATCTCCACTTTACAGCTCGGGAAACTAAAGGCACAGAGCGATTCCGGTGTTTGCCAAAGGTCACATGGCTCAAACAGGCGGTCCTGGGGCTGAAACCAGGCGGTCTGGCTCCATGCCCAGAGCTCCTGACTCCCATCCTTTCCCTCTGGCTCTGGGCAAAGGCTAGGCCCTCCTGAAATGTGACCTTAATGGCTAGCTCAGAAGTTCCTGGGCCAATGAGTACCTTAGCTCTAACCTGCATCTACCTTCCTGTCCTTGATGGGGTGCTCCGTTATCCCACGGAACCATCTGCTAGGTTTGGAGCAATTAGTTATCCTAACCAGTGGGAGAGGCAATTAATCATTTAGTTCCCTTTGCAGGGACATGTGGAAAAACTGGGGCAAATCAGAAGATTTCCAGACAAAGAGGAAAGGTCTGTCTTGGGATGCCCTGGGGCCTTGGCTCATGGGTGAGTAATGTTTAAAGCCACGCTGGGGACTCTCTTGACATTATTGGTTGAGGAAAAAAAATTCTGCAGCTTGATGCACACAGAGATTCACCATCATGGGTAGAAAGAACCCAAGCCCCACTCGTGATAGCAGTAAGTAATATGTGCCACACACTGTCTGATGGGTTTTACAAGCATGATTATTCCTTATAATGACCTCTGAGCTGGCTGCTGTGATAACCTCATTCTACAGAAGGGGAAACTGAGGCCTTGGCTATATAGCTGGGAAAGGGGAGATGCTGGGTTGATCACCTCTTGGCATATGCCCATCACAAGGCTGGGGGCACCTGCCATTCACACACCCCACTGAGGCAGGTGCAGCCTGTAATCTGGTTGGTCTTAGGGTCATGGCCTGTGGCCGCTGATTTGGGAGCAGGTATGATCTTAGCTCCTTAATACCAGGCCCCAGAGTCTAACCTGCTTCCACCCTGATGTACTGAGTGGCAAATGGATTCCAATCCTTCCATCTTCCTTTGCTGGAGCCCACAGCATAATCACCAACAGAGATGCCCACAGGCCCCAGGTGGGTGGCACAGGTGAGGACCGAGGTAAACCCAGGCATGTGTCCCGTCTAAAGGGAGAAGCCACTCCCCAGCTAGCTGTTGTCATCTGGTGTGGCCAGATCTTACGGTTTTCAAGAGAAGCCAGTAGCTGCAATTCTTATGGGACATGTGTCCATATTTTAATAGTGGCAAATTAATTTAAAAACCATTTTTAAAAATACTGTTTTGTAAAACACTTGTGAGGGCCAGATCTGACCCCCAGTGTGCAGCCTCAGCTCCAGAACAAAGGAGGACACCCAGACATTATTATCCAATTCTGTATTGAGTGACGCATATACAGAATGTGTTCCTGTTTTTTAAAATTTTAAACAAAGTTCATCAATCTCTCATAGAAACGGTTTCGTGTGTTTTTGTTTTGTTTTGACCGTTATAGGACATGAACCTAACAAAGATGTTCACGGGTCTGCTGGCTTTAGGTACAACAGGATTCCTGTGGTCAAAAGACTACACTAAGTGCTTAATCAAATCCCGTTACACAAAAGCCAGATTTAGTTCTTTGAGAATCCTAGTCTTGTGTGTAAGTCTGGATTTCAATGTTGTGTGGGTTTCAACAGTAAAAAGTGGTATGTTTCCCCACAGTTTTTAATTGTGATAGGGTGGTGGTGGCTAAAAGGAGATGTTTCATTTGTTCCAGATTTGATTACTCTGAAAATTGGTCACTGTTTCCTACTGTCAAAATATAAAAATACCTTCATCTGGATAAAAATGTATACAGTGGAAAACACTTCAATGCATAGCCTGGGTGTACGGAAAAGGAGGTTTTCCTGCAGGGTTTGCGTTGTTCTTCACTGACTGGTGTGGAGACTGCAGCCTGGGCTGGGTGCATGAGAGTTGAGATTTCTGGAACAGTCTTCATTTGTCCCCTTCAGGTCACTGGGTTTTTCTGGTTGGGTTTCAAAATGCTTGTTGCAGCCTTGAAAGCCCCACCGGCCATCTCTCCCCCGGGCATTGGGTTGGCACTGATTATGGCCACCCTTTCATTATCATTCTGGATTCAGCAGGGGAGTCACCCAAGTCAGCTTTCCCACAGTTTGAAAAAGGAAAATAAAACAGGAGAGAAAAATTCAACAGTCAATCTGGTGGCCTTTCCATCCAAATTGGGAGCTCTTTCCCTAGCAATCATGAGGACAAAGACACTGGAGGGAGGTTTCTCCAAGGGGGAGGTTGAGTCTTTGAGTCCCAGAAAGTCACATGTTGGGAGGCAGGAGGGTGGACCTGAAGACTGGGATACAGTGGTTATGGTGTGGTGAACTCAACCTTCTTGCTTTCTTTTGCATGGACTTGGAGTTGCAGATGCCTTCCAAAAACTGCACTACGGTCAACTTGAGAAGATGGCAGGAAGGGGAGTTGGGGCCTCTAGTTGGATGAATTTACTTTTTGGTGCTGGGTGCTTGTAGGACTACCAATACCAATCATTTTCCTTAAAGCACAGGGAGGGGAAGATGGTGGCCACAGTCTTGCTCTGGAAACCCAGTGGGAAAGCCTCCTGTACCATGGCCATGATTCAGGTTGGGGAACGGGGTCACTCTGACTTAAGTGCCACGCTCCAATCACCTGCTCCCGTGCCGGGCTTTCCAAAGGATCCAGAAACACAGAGTGTCTGCAGATGAGGTGGATGTCCAACCTGCACAGCCCACAGGTTTCTCATTAGAGGGGGTGTAAGCAGTTTGTTTTATACCATGTTTACATCTCAGATAGGATGTTTGGCCACAGCCCACATCTACAATATTTACGACGGCACAGGACATTCTATTTTGTGTTATCAAGGTTGCAAACAGACCATCAGAATGAGACACATCCTCAACGGCATCAAGGTTTTCATTTAGAGTCTTTTGGACTTTCCCTTTTCAGCACGGTTTCTAGAAGGGCAGTAGCAATGTGCTGTGTCTCACAGACAGATGCAGAAAAAAAACCCATGGTTCAAAGGTTAGCTAAATTTTGGTCAGTCTTATATAAGTGTTTTGTGATGGCTTTGAACAATTGTCTTCTTTTAATCTCATCTAGTGGCAAAAATGACACAACTTCAGTGTATACTTCTCAACAGTTGTGACAGCATCCTGATTTTATAACTCTCTGTAATATCAAAACAGCATCGGCTGGGAATAAATTCTGAAGGATCCTTTATTAAAATATCTAAAAGAGGTCTATAAATATTTATTTATTTTTCTAAAAGAGTTTGGAGTTTCCAGGTGAAACTGCGGTGCCACTTTTCTTCTGCCTCCTGCAGAGAGGCCAGGATGGAGAAGAGGGTGCTCTCTGGGGCAGGGGGTGCTGAAAAGAGGAGGCAGTGGCACTTGCCCCGTCCACTCCCTCACAACTTCGTGTAACTAGGATTACAACAAAAAACGTAAATGGCATAACATTGCTGTCCACATTTTGATGGTTGAGTTCTTCCCTCCTCACCCCTCCCTTGTCTGGGAGAGTGAGCGAGGGAGGGAAGGTGGCTACGCAGGTGTGGCCTTCAGCTCCTCACCCCTGCCTTCAGAATTCCCACTCCAGGGCCTCCTCCCGATTGGCAGCCCTCTCTAGCCGATAGATGATGCTGTTCAGGTTGGCCATCTTCTCATGCCGCCGCTGCAGGTTGGGGTTCACCTTGGTGCTGGGGTTCAAGGCCCCAGCTGTGTCGGCTGTAGGGCTGGCACTTGGCACTTTGGCAGGGGGGGCGCCAGGTGGGGATGGGGAGATTGGGGCTGAGGAGGAGGGGACAGGTGATACAGACATCATGAGGCCCGGTGAGGAGGCAGCTGAGGGTGAGTTCAGTGACACCTCCAGGCTGCAGCGTGAGGACTCCGAGGCCGACTTAAAACTTTGAGGGTCCAAGTGTAGCTGTTCCCCACGCTTGCTCTCCTGAGACGGCTGTAGTGAGGGGTGGTCCGGGGTGGTCTCACCTGGAAGGAGGAGCCCGGGGGCCGCCTCTGGGAGTCCGTTGTCCCCTGGCGGGTCGGGACGTGCCTCCGTGGGGGAACCTTGGCCTTGGCCCGGCTCCTGTGAGTCCCGGAGCTGGCTGCCTGCCTCCTCCTCCTCGGCAGCCTCCTCACTCTGTTCCTGCTTAATCCTCATTGGGGCCTTACCCTGGGCGCTCAGGGCTGTGAGGCCTTCAGGGCCCTCCTGAGGACCCAGTTCCTTCACAGTAGGCTTCTGGTCCTCGGGCTCGGAGTCAGGGCTCTGGGCGGTGGGGTCTGGGTGGGAGTGGCCTGGCAGTAGGACACTAGAACCCCCACTGGGGTCGGGGTCCGGTTCATCTTGGGTCCCCTCCACCAACATCTCCCGGCGCATCCGGGACCTGGGGCAGAGACGGTGGTGAGTGAGGGGCTGGATGGGGGACCTGGACTCAACCTACACAAGCAGCAGTTTGAACCCAACCACTTCCCTGGGGCTCACTAGGCTCTGAGCTGCTTCTCATGCGGCATCTTACTAAGTCCTCTCAACAACCCTACAAGATTGGTGCTATTATTATCCCTATTTCACAGAGGAAGAAACAAGACTCAGAGATACTGAGTGACTTGTCCCAGGTCATAAAGCCAGTAAGTGACAGAGCCAGGTCTTGAACTCAGGGCTGTTGGATTCCAAAGCTCATGATCTAGACCTGTGCTGCCCAGTACAGTAGCCACTGACCACATGTGGCTCTTGAGCACTTGAAATGTGGCTAGTCTGAATTGGGATGTGCTGTCAGGGTAAAATATACACTGGATTTTTGAAGGCTTAATACAGAACACAATGTAAAAGAGCTTAGTAAAGTTTTTATATTGGCCATATGTTCAAATGGTTATATACTGGGCTAAATAATATATACTGTTACAATTAATTTCATCAAAGTTTCTTTTTTTTTTATAATGTGGCTACTAGAAAATTTTACATCACATATGTGGCTTGCATTATACTTCTATTGAACAGCACCATTCTAGAGCATTTCTCAAGTCAAACCCAGATTCTAGTTTGTGGCAGTAGCTCTCTGTTTTCTTTCCTGGAAGGATTTTTAGACATCAGCCCAGAAGGGGAGACTTGTCCAGGTCACCACAGCACACAGGGACAGAGCTGGGGCCAGAACCTGGGTGCCCCAAATTCCAGTCCAGAACCCATCATATCTTCACTTCAACCACCTCCCTGCTGCTGGAGAAGCAGTGAGGGCCAGGAATGGGTCTAACCTCTTTTATTATTTTCCTAATAGCAACGAGGGCCATAGAGGCCAAATGACCCATTTGAGGTCGTAGAAAGACAGGGCTTCCTCAGCACCTGCAATGTTGCGGCCTTCTGCCCATTTACATTAATAATAAAATATATATTATTGATAAATATTACTAACAATTCTAAATTGCAATAAGTATCATAATAATGGATGCTTATCATGTATCAGGCACTGGGCCAAGTACTTTTTTGCAGACCATTTCATTTATTTTTCATAATAACCTTATGAGGAGATACTAGTCTCATTCCCATAGTTAAGGGAGACGAGGTTCAGAGAGGCACAGAGGATTGCCATGATCACAGAGCCAGCAAGGAGTGCAGCTGGGCTCTGAACCCAGCAGACTGGCTACACTCTTCTGCCTCCCTGCCCAGGTGTGGGATGGGGCCTTCACCCCAGGATCCTGAGCCTGGAGGGACTATAAGGGGTCATCAGGTCCCTCCACTTGGCCCCCTCCCAGGGAACTCTGTCTCCCTCAGTTCTCTCCAGAAGAGAGAACAGCTGCTCGGGTGGAACCCTATTGGTTTCCACTGAGGTGGGATGTGAGGGGGGTTTAGGATGCCTCAATGTCTGAAGCACCACCATTAGAACTTCCAATGTGTATATCAAGTATAAATATCAGGCTAATAGTCATTTGCACCATAATATAGTCTTTTCAATTCCTGACTCCCAGATCTATAGCAGGGCCTCCCTGGACATTTTTTCTCAAAATATCCTGTTCACCTTTCCCAGAGCTCACTGCAGTTTGTAATGATATATTAATACGAGTACTCATTTAATAGTGACTTTCCTGCTGGTCTATAAGAGATGCTAAGGGCAAGGGCTTTGTCTTGTTCTCTTTGAAGTACAGAGTAGGTGCTCAATAAACATTTACAAAATGAAATAAAGTAAATAATGTATTCTATAATTATAATTCTTTGAGAGTGGTTTCCTTTGGGAGTGGAAATCTCTCTGCTCCTTGGTGCAAACTCCTATTCATCCTTCAAAACCCACCTAAAATGTCATCTCTTCTGTAAAGTCTTTCTTAAGCAGAATTCCTTTTTTTTTCAGTCCCTTATTCCTTCCTGTTTTATAGGTTGTAATGAAATTGTCTCTTTGTGATTTTAAACTCCCTAAGGGCAAGGATGGCTTTCAACCCCTGTATCTTCAGACCCTGGCTCACTGGGCATATGTAGTAAATATTTGTTGAATGAGTATGTTGGATAATAATGGAGTGCTCAGTTCCTATAGGGAACAAGAGGGGAGAGGATATCCCTAATGCCCCAGGGAGGGAAGAAGGATGTGAGGACCTGTATCATTTGACATTTGGCAGGCTTTGGGTCTGAGCCAGATAATAATCATATTATACAATGTATTTATGCCAAAGTTGTTTCTTTGATTGTCAATTCAATTGTGGGGTAAGTATTAGATTCCTTATCTGTAAAATAGGCATGAGACTCAGAGAGGTACAGTGACTCGCCCAAGAACACACAGCCAAGGTGGGACTTGAACTCAGATCTGGGTGATGCCTATGCATGGGCCATGCAGAGGGAGATTTCAAGTGTTCCACCCTTCAGGCTTCTCCTTCCTCTTTTCCCTTGGTGATTAAGAGACCTTCTCTGTACCCCTGGAATGCATAAATGGACTTCCTCTCTGGTACAACATGAACATCTGAGACATTTCCTGGTTGGTAAGCTTGGTGGGGGTCACAGCAGAGATGGTCCCTAAAATCCCATCAAACCTTCTCTGTAGGGCTCTCAGCTGGCCTGCGGAGGCCCCACTGTAGTCGCCCAGGAAGGACCAGCCTGGGAAGGCCCTGAGCCAGCTGTGGGACTGAATCCCCAGGAAGCCCTGCACACTGCAGGTCAGAGGGGAGGGTCTGGTGAGTGGGAGGAGGCAGACACAGAAATAGGAATCACCTGCTCCCTGGGGTGAGAGGGACCTGGGGGGCTGCCAGAGGGGTCTCCTTTGACTTTAAGAGTGAGAAAGACCAAGAGCTTTCAAATCAGGGCTCCTACATGAGGCTCAGTGGTTAGTTAGGGCTCCTCAGGCCTGTGCCTCAAACACCATTCCCTGTCCTGTTGTAGAGGCAGACACAGAGCAAGCTGGGTGAGGTCCTAATAAGGATAGTGACAATAATTACATCAAACCCCCGCCATACACACACACTACGTGCCAGGTATTTTATGCTTCCATGTTGCCCACTGAATCCTCAGGACAATGCTACAAAGTAGATCCTGGCATGGCTCCCATTTCAAGGACAGAAGACTGAGCCCCAGAGAGGTGAAGGGGTTTGCCCAAGGTCTCACAGCTGGAAGACCGGAGCTGGGATTCACGTCCAGGTTTGCCTATTTCTAAATCTCAACAGGTACGCACATGGTTTCCCCATTTCCCGGAGGCCATACTGGGCTCCCTCTAAGCCACAGGAAGGGGAAGGCAGTGTGGCCACGACCCCGGGCCACCCTCCCAGCAGCTGCTGCCCAGGAGCCTCACCTGTAGTTGTGGAACCAGTTGATGACGGTGTTGGTCTTGAGGTTGAGCTGGAAAGAGAGGAGCTCAATGGTCTGTTGGGAGGGGTAGGGCTCCAGCTGGTAGGCCTTCTTTAGCGCCTCCTTCTCCTCTGGTGCCAGCACCACTCGGGGCTTCTTGATTTGCAGGAGGCTCAGGTCCTGGGGCTGCAGGCAGGGGCTGGGGCACTCAGAGCGGGCGGCTGGAGACTCACTGTCAGAGCCGGTGCTGATGAGACCGTACCTGCGCTTCAGGTAGGCTGGGGCGGGCGGGGGAGGGAGCACTGAGACGGAGCTGACCAGAGGCCCTGCGGCCCCCAGATCCCAGGGGTGGGGCTTGGCTGCAGGCTCACGCCCCGAACGTAGGGACCTGCTGCCAGTCTCATGCTCTCTCCCTCCTTGCTCTTTCCACACCCTTCCAATCCCTCTGCCCACTCCTGCCCAAGGGCAGGAGACAGCTGTGCCTGCCTCTGAAGTCTGGTTGTTAGCGCCCAGGTGTTAAGTATATAGGGGGCTCAGCAGGGCTCACAGACAGGGAGTGCTCAAAAAAAGAGTGCAGAAGTGTCCCTGAATTTCACTACAGCCTTGTTGGGGACAGACTGGGACAGTAATTTGAGTGAACCCAGTAAGCAGGATGCATCTCAACCTCAATTTGTCAAAATGTGAAAAAAAAACGTCCACTTCAGAATGGAAGAAGTAAGGCACTAGGGTCTTGTTTCATCCTCACAGCATTGCCCTGGAGGCTCAGGTCCTGGGGCTGCAGGCAGGGGCTGGGGCACTCAGAGCGGGCGGCTGGAGACTCACTGTCAGAGCCGGTGCTGATGAGACCGTACCTGCGCTTCAGGTAGGCTGGGGCGGGCGGGGGAGGGAGCACTGAGATGGAGCTGACCAGAGGCCCTGCGGCCCCCAGATCCCAGGGGTGGGGCTTGGCTGCAGGCTCACGCCCCGAACGTAGGGACCTGCTGCCAGTCTCATGCTCTCTCCCTCCTTGCTCTTTCCACACCCTTCCAATCCCTCTGCCCACTCCTGCGCCTGCCCACACCTGCCCAAGGGCAGGAGACAGCTGTGCCTGCCTCTGAAGTCTGGTTGTTAGCGCCCAGGTGTTAAGTATATAGGGGGCTCAGCAGGGCTCACAGACAGGGAGTGCTCAAAAAAAGAGTGCAGAAGTGTCCCTGAATTTCACTACAGCCTTGTTGGGGACAGACTGGGACAGTAATTTGAGTGAACCCAGTAAGCAGGATGCATCTCAACCTCAATTTGTCAAAATGTGAAAAAAAAACGTCCACTTCAGAATGGAAGAAGTAAGGCACTAGGGTCTTGTTTCATCCTCACAGCATTGCCCTGAGGCAGACACGATTGGCTCTTCTTTTCAGATGAAGTAGAATGAGGCGTAGAGAGGGGAAGTACCTTGCCCAAGGTCACACAGCCAGGAAGTGGCAGGCCAAGCTCTCGGCCACAGTGTCTGGTGCCCACCGCCCAGCTGGTGCCATGACGGCAACTGTTCAATGACTCACATCTCAGATATCCCCCAACTTACAGCTTTTTAGATGTCACCTCCCAACTTTTTTAGCTCCTGAGCTTTATTTAGATCCAGAAATCCCTCAGGCACAGCATGAGATTGGGTGGGCACCTAGGGCTCCACGCCAGCCCGTGTTTTCAGGGCTATAAGATAATATTAGACAACATAAGAATCTGTGATCTCCCTGCCTGCTCCCACAGGGAGGGTTTCCTGTACGCTGGGTCAGTTCTGTGTTTTGCTGTATACATCTGGGTAATGGGCAGAGGGGGATCTCTGTAATAGGGAGCTGATGCAGAGGACCGAGGGATCAGAGAGAGTTTTTCAGGGACTATGCAGTTGGGATTGGTCAAAGGCTTTGAAGAAATGTGAGTGTGTGGAAAAATGCTGAAAGATGGTACTGGAATTTTCATGAGGAAGTAGTAAATACTTAAATTGCTTTCAATTATATTCTGTGGGATTTCTGTTTCTTGCAGTCCCACACCAGGCTGAGACCTGACCACTGGGGCCCTGGGTGTGTTTGGATTACAACTAGATGTGCTTCCAAAGGGAGAACCTGAGGCCAGACCCTGTGAACCCAGAGCTCACCTTTCTTCTCCAGCTTCTTCATGTCCCTCAGCTTCTCCACATTATGCGGGTCATTGAGCCACAGCTGCATGCGCACAAAGGGCTCCCGTCCCTTCAGGCTCAGCTTGTGCCAGGGTTTGGGCCGGGAGAGCAGGTCAGACACAGAGCCCTGAGTCAGCCCTAGGATGCTCTCCCCAAACAGCCGCTGCCCTGGGAACAGGGGAGGAGGGCAACCTGTTACCCTAGGCTGGGTGGAGGTGCTCCCAGGAGAGACAAGAAATGGGCCAGAGACACAGGGCAGAACCCGGAGGCCCAGAAACATGCGGGAGCCCATGCTCACTGTGAACCTGGAGGGGACCTCTCTGCAAAACACATTTGTGGGGAAGAACAGATAGCTATCAACAAAGATGCTTTCATAATTTAGATATTCTTCATTACTAAGGGATCCCTGAAACTGTCTCAAACTTCATGTGTATAAATTAGTATTAGCTGTATTTAGTAATTTTACATATTCTATCAAAATCTCAGTGTGCATGTCCTCTGATCCAGTAATTCCACTGCCTGGGATTTATCCTCCAGTTGGGGCACAAAGATGCATGTGGGTGTACTTTCTAAGGCAGCAGGAAATTGGAAAAAACAAAATACCCATCGGTGGATTAAAAATTTGAGGCATCCATGGCCTGAAACACTGCAAAAGAGAAAAAGAATGCAGGTGGTCTAATTATTCTAAGGGTATCCAGAAAACTGTTAACTTTTAAGATGCAAGTTGTAGGACAGTATGTGTGTAATTTCATTTACAAAAAATAAAAGAAATTAGGTGTACACATGTTCTTGTATGTGTTCAGAAATCATCAAAGATCACATAAAAACTATGCAGTGTAACTGGAAGGCTGGGTGGGATTTTGTTTATTTACTTTTTAAATTATTTTTTTCTCTACTTTAAAAATGAACATGTATTAAATAATGAAAAGGTATTTAAAAATAATGAGCATGTCTTATTTCTGTAATAGAAACTAGTGAAAACTGTAGTAGTGTTTGTGTGCCTTGCTCTGGGGGAGGCGTATGACCTGCATCTGATACTTGGGGGGAATCTGCGATCCCAAAGCAAAAGAACCCTAGACCGTGCTTCTCCTCTGTGCCCCCAGAGAGCAGCAAGTCCAGCGCCGGGTCAGGGCTGTGCTGGAGTCTCGCCGCTGCGAGAATTCTCTTGGTCCTCCTGGAAGGGAGGACGTTTTGAAAGCTGTGGGTTGAGGATTTCAGGTCATATCAGACCTGCATTCACCTCCCTTTTGTCTCATTCAGCAGCCCAGGCCAGCTGCTCCCAGAGTGTCCTGGATGCCACCCAGCACCTGCAGGCTGGACCCCAGCGCCCTGGCATCTCACTGTGGGCACTTGCTTCAAGGCAAGCAGGAGCCAAGCAGGATAGGAGGCAACATCTCTGATTCCCACCACCCTGTACCTAGGTTGTTGTCTGTGAGGACCTCTTTGACCCTCTTGGTGATGGAGTATGTGTCCAGCTCGGGGGACATGGCCACAATCTCCTGGATGCCCCCTGTGGCCTGGCTGCCCGAGTACATCTTCCCTCCCAGCGAGGAGCTGGAGCGTCCCTCTGGCTGCTGGTTCTCCTTGATGCTCTCCAGCGCCAGGCGCAAGGGCTCCTGGGAGCTCTTCTCCGGCTCTGTGGGGCTGGGGGGTGGGGATGGCGAGGACCTCGGCTCGGTGGGACTGGCTGTGGGCCACAGAGAGACAGAGAGGGTGGTTGCTGCGATCTGACGTAGACATGCAGTTTGGGCAAGCTTGTTTGATAGAGCCAAGAGTTGCCAACAACCCATTTTGCAATCACCACAGTAATATCTCAGGCAGGGACCACCCTGGATGCAAAAACTGGCCAGATGAGGAATAGGATATTTGCATAGTCTCCAAGTACCTCCCCACAAGACTTACTAATTACAAAGGGAAAATTAATACCCTTCTCGTACAGCTACCTGGCAGACCCCACCTTAATGAAGTAATCGAAGTTAACATCACCAATCACAGGATAAATTAATTGGTGCTTCCTGATACCATATACTGAGGACACTGTTGCTTCTGCGATATTCCTGCCCAAAGTGCATGGCCTGAAATCTCATGACAAGGAAGCATCAGCCAAAGCTGAACTGAGACAATCCAGAATAACTGGCTTCTAGTCTTCAGAAATGTCAACAGTAGAGAACAAAGAGAGGCAGAAGAGTCGTCCGAACTGAAAAGACTAAAGAGACGTGACGACTAAATACAAGTGGTCCTGAATCTGATCCTGGACAGAGAAAAATAAAATTATATAAAGGATGTTATTGGGATAACGGAGGAAACCTGGCTATAAATGGTGGGTTACGTAACAGCATTGTGTAATTGTAAAATTCCTGGTTCTTGGGAAATGCTTATGTAAGTAGTTAGGGGTAAAGGGACATGAGATCATCAAATAATTTCTCAAATGGAGAGAGAAAAACAGCACAAATGTGACGGTATTAGGAAATGGCAAATCTGTGTGTAGGTTGTAGGGAGTTTGGTGTTCTATTGTTTCAACTTCAGTAAATAAAAAATTACATCAAAATAAAAAATGAAAAAATTAGGTTGGCAATCATCTGTAAGTACAACCACTGGGGATTAGCTAAACAAAATATGATGTTTCCCTCCAGAAATTAAAAATAATATAATGAAAAGATGTCCACATATGTCAGTTCTGGGGCCCCACAGCATGGTGATTGTAGTTAAGTGTAAGATGTTATACATTTGACAATAACTATGAGATGTTAATGTTCTCAGTGTAACAACGAACTGTAGCTATGTGAGCTGAAGGATGTGTTAACTAACCTTATCACATAAACATTTTGCAATATGTGTGTATCAAACTATCACACTGTGTGCCTTAAACTTATACTGTCAATATGTCAAATACATCTCAATAAAGCTGAAAAAAGATGCCCACAGTACATTAGCAGGCTTAAAAAGTAAGTGTTTATAAGCTACCTTTTCCATTTGTCATAAGACATTTTATGTGAATATATATTAGAAAAACCATTTGGAAGACGTCTTGGGTGGGGTGTCTTTGCCATATCTCTCAAATGGGGCTATAAAGCACGTAGCTCTACACTTACACAGACCCTACTTGGGGCCGTCAAGAGGACTCCGAGAGATAATGCGGGTCCATCTCCTGAGGGGTCAGTTACCCAGTGGACTCTCCAGTGTGAGCTGAGCCTCCTGACGGTCCTGGGAGGGCAGAGGACAGTCCCAGGAGGCGCCCCTAATGGGGTGGGGAGTGTGGTGGAGGGTCTGGGAATCCCAGTGCTGGTCTGGACAGTACCTTCCAGCAAATTAGAAAAAGGTGCCTCTACCTCAAGGCAGTCAACTGCCACCTGCTGGAAATTTGTTAAAATACATATACAAATGTATGCCAGCTAGGAAGTGAAGGAAACGATATGCAGTAGCTTTGATTCCAGAAAGGACACCCTGAGGCTATCTGGATGGGAAGGTAAGATCACTCTGGTCAGGGCACTCTCATCTCCAGAACCTTCAGTGGCTTCCCACTGCCCTTTGCACAAGAAATGTCTACTTCCTTGTTCTCGTGTTTAAGGCTCTAGACTCTCTTGCCTCTGCCCACTCGACAGACCTGGAGCTCCTCACATTCTCTCCAGGACCCTCTCTCCCTAAAAACCTCGTAGGTTCTTCTAAACCCCACTATGCCTTTGTCACCCTGAAGGCCTTTCCACTAACTTTGAACTCCTATGCATCCTTCAAGGCCCAGTTCCAAACACCCGTTCTCTGAGGTGCAAATCTTTGGGGTCTGTTAGCACCTTGACTACACACTGTCACACTCTATTATGATTTCTTGCTTGTGCTGGGTCTCTCCCCTGCCAGATGACACTGGTGCTGACAATGACAACTGATAAAGCTTCACTCACTACATGCCCAGAATAGTGCTAAGTGTTTTAAACCCATGATCTCGTGACCCTCAGCACATCTCTAGGAGGGAGGTACTATGTCATCCTATTTTATAGATGAGGAAACTGAGGCTCAGAAAAGTAAGCCAATGTGTCCAAGGTCAGACAGTGCCTTGTGGCAAGCTCAGGTCTGCTCACACCCAGCTCTGTCCTCTCACCCACTACGAGCCCCTGAAAGGCAGGGGCCACCCATTAGTCATGGCGAGTCTTAGAGCTCAGGGAGGCAGGAGGTATTGGGCTGTTGAGTGAATAAATTTTGGCCAGGACTTCTGATTACCCCGGAAAGGTGCAAAGTGAAACTTCAGAGTTACGAGTAGTGGTATCACATCCCTGTGAGGCTGGCAGGCCACGTCTGGAGTCATGAGAATTTTACTGTCCACCTCTCCAACCCCCAAATCAGGCTGATCCTGGCTATCCAGGTGGCATCCATTTGATGCTGGAGCTGACACGTCCCCTTTTCCCCCCCATCACCGTCACCAGCAGGGATGAAAGTTGACGGGGAAGGGCCAGCCTGGGAAAGCAAGAGACTGTTTCAAGAGTCCTCCCATTGCTGTCAGCTGGAGGAGGCTGGGCTCAGCTGGAGGAGGATCAAGGGTCTCCCAGGACATCTGCTTCTTGGATAACCATCTGCACCCTCATCCCCACCCAAAGGGCCAGATTTCCAGCCAGTGAGGGAGCAGGATGAGGGGCTGGAGATACACTAGGCCACGTCTGGAGTCATGAGAATTTTACTGTCCACCTCTCCAACCCCCAAATCAGGCTGATCCTGGCTATCCAGGTGGCATCCATTTGATGCTGGAGCTGACACGTCCCCTTTTCCCCCCCATCACCGTCACCAGCAGGGATGAAAGTTGACGGGGAAGGGCCAGCCTGGGAAAGCAAGAGACTGTTTCAAGAGTCCTCCCATTGCTGTCAGCTGGAGGAGGCTGGGCTCAGCTGGAGGAGGATCAAGGGTCTCCCAGGACATCTGCTTCTTGGATAACCATCTGCACCCTCATCCCCACCCAAAGGGCCAGATTTCCAGCCAGTGAGGGAGCAGGATGAGGGGCTGGAGATACACCTTGATGATAGGCCTGAAACCAGCCAGTCCCCCTCTCTGCACTTCCAGGCGGAACACCGGCCCTTCTGACCACGCTGACTTTAAGGACCGCTGCTTTACAAAACCACTGAAAGATGCAGAAATCAGCTCGATCAGGAGGAACACACCAATTGTAAAGGGCTGGGTCGGAGGTGATCAGTCAGGTTGGCTGGGGCTTGAGCAGGGCACTCTGGATAGGGGTGTGGGCAGAGGGCAGGGGGGATACAGCAGAGTGACCACTCACCTCACTCGCCTGGGGCTTCCCTGGTTTTAGCACAGAAAGCCCCATGTTCTGGGCAGACAGGGGAGTGGGTCACAATGGACAAAGGGAGAGATGGAAGGAGAGAGAGTGACAGGTAGGGACAGAGCAGCTGCAGAATGAGAGGGACAGGGAAAGAAGGAGTCAGGGAGAGAGATGGGGGAAAGAGGCCAGTAAGAGACAGTGAGAAAGACGCCCCTGGGGGAGGGCGATGGAGGGAAGACAGAGGGACCATGCGTGGGGAATAGGGCTTCTTCAACGGCTTGAGCATTCCCCACTGTGGGCATTGCTAATGAGGCTGGTGAACGAACAGCGGGCACAGGGGGAGGGCATGCCTCACAACACCCACCACCACAACCGGTATTTGCTCACCCCCAACTCTCCGGACAGCAGGGGCTCTAGCACCGGTTCCCGGGCACCGGGACAGGTCCAGGTCCAGTCCTCCCCACCCCCCAGCCGGTGTGGGACCTTGTGGGCAATGGATCACTGTCCTGCCTCTAGGCTGCGGACAAGTGGTGGCTGTGGGGGCCTTGGTTGGATCAGCCGCACCACACCCACTGCCATTACGCCAGCAGCTCCTGCTCGCATCTCTGCCGCCTTGAACCTGGAGCCTTGGCTTCCTGGTCTATGGGTGAGACAAGGCATCCACCCTCACCTGCACTCACCTCCCTTCCCTAACTGTGTAAGACTTCCTCTGAGCTTTTGAGGGTTCTTCCTCTAGGAAGACCATTCCTGATATCTTTGCTTAACTGTTCTTACCTACTCTCAACAAAAGAAATTAAAAACAAAACAATTAGACACTGGGCAAGTGCAAATCAAAGCCACAGTGAGATACCACTTCACACCCACTAGGAGGGCAACAGCGAACAAATGGAGACAGCAGGTGCTGGTGAGGATGTGGAGAATGGGAACCCCCATACATGGCTGCTGGGAATGTAAATGGTGCAATCCCTACAGAACCCCCTCAGGAAGTTAGACAGCCACCATCTGGACCAGCAACTCCACCCTTAGGTATGCAGCCAAAGGAATTGAAAAGAGGTGTTCAAAAGTGTGTACATGAATGTTCCACAGAAGCATCAATGACACTAGTCAAAAGGTGGTCTATCCATACAATGGAATATGATTCAGCCATAAAAAGGAATGAAATTCTGACATTACACTGGATGCACCTTGAAAACATGATGCTAAGTGAAATAATCCAGACACAAAAGACCACATATCGTATGAACGCATTGATATGAAATGTCCAGAACAGGCAAATCCATACAGACAGAAGGCAGGCTGGAGGCTGCCAGGGGCTGTGGGGAGGGGGCAAGGGGAGGGATTGCTTAGTGGGTAAAGGGCTTCCTTTTGGGGTGAGGGAAATGTCCTGGAATGAGATAGAGGTGGTGGTTGTGCAAAGTTGTGAATGTATTAAATGCCACCGATATGCGAATTTTGCCACAATAAAAAATTAATTAAAACAATTAAACATAACAGAACAAAACAAAGGACGGGAACCCTTCACAGCCCTGGGCTCTGGAGTAGGCACTTTTGTGGGCCTACTGGCTGACAGCCCTGTGTTCTGGTCTTGGCTCTGCCACTAACTGGCTGGTGACCACTGGCAAGTCATTGTACTACTCAGACCCTTGATTCTTTTTCTGTAAAAGGGAATGACAAACAGTCCATCTGGTCCACCCTTGTAAGGGTTAACGGAGAAGAACTGCAAGCGCCCAGCATTGTGGGTGGCAAGTGGCTGCTGTCCTGTCATGGCCATCAGCCTCATGGGGCAGAGGACTTCAATGAAAAGCTGTCATTATAAAATATTTCAAAGCTATAGACTAATACAGAAAAGAAAATATAAGCCCTCCCTGCGTTCCCTGGGCCCACCACATGGATAGATGTTAACGCTATCTTACTTGCTTCAAGTCTCCCAGTTTGTTTTAAAGACAAAAAAGCAACAGAGACAGGCAGAGTCAACTCTTCCCTCCGTGTCTCTTCCTGGCCCCCTCCCTGTCCAGTGCAGCTCCTCTCCCCAGGCATGTGGTGGGGGGGGCTCCTTTTTACATTAATGCATAAGCTTGCCGATTATCTCATGGGGGTTAACTTCTAAAATAAATATCACCCAGGACGCTTGACGTTACGTTGCTGGTAGTTTTCCTGTTGATACCTGTGGATCTGGTTAACTTCTGTGAACCCGAGACATGGTTTTGTCCTACTGACTGATCCCCACTTAATGGATGGGCCAACTGAGGCTGAGCGGAGGTTCTCGGATGCAGAGCTCAGCCCCTCCTGTCTTGGCCTTTCTCTGGTCCCCATGGCCACGGCCCCTCATTCCCCTGTGGGGCCTGGGTGGGCACTGCACCAGGGCCCCGACAGACATGTCCACTTGTCATCCTGGGGTGGCAGCTTGTGCTCCCTGGAGTCCCCCCCCTCGCCCCCTCCCTCCAGTCTCTGGCTCTGTGACTTTGAGCAACGTTCTGAGCCTCAGTGTCCTCACCAAGGCGAAGTTCAGACTCCACCCTGTCTGTGCATCACTACTGGATGGATAACAGCTGCCCAAGACCCTGTGCTAAGGATTCTGAGGCTCCATGCTGGATCATGGGAACAGGGATCAATCGGTGATTCCTGATTCCCAGCAGGGCCTGGGAGGGTGGGGCTGCGCCTGCAAAGTATTTTTTTTGCTTGCTCTGGACATCCTGGCGCCACCCAGAGGTTTAAAACCAGGGATAGCTGCATCCCTCTGGTTGAAAGGGTGGAAAGGGAGCAGGGAGACCAGCTGGGAGCACCCTGGTAGGTGGGCAGGGCAGTGGGACGCAGAGATCTCTGCGGTTCTGGGCGTTGGCAGCATCCCACCAGAGGGCCTGCCCACACTCACCCTGGGAGGCACTGGGCTGCTGGCTGGCGGCCTGGCCGAGCTGGTCGGAGAGCCACAGCTGCATACGGATAAAGGGCTCCCGCCCTTTCTGCGTTAGCTTGCTCCATGGCTTTGGTCGGGACAGCATGTCGCTCACACTGCCCTGTGACAGGCCCAGCACCTGGGGATGGGTGGGGCAGGAAGGGTAGGTCAGCAGGCCCCTGGGACACTAACATCTTCTCCCTTCTGCCCCCAAGATCCTTAGGGACCACTGTTCACTCTTGTTCCCTCAGAGGCCAGGACTGCCTCCATTTGTACTTCATTTCCTAGGTGCCTGCTGTGTGTCTGTGCCCTGCCCTCCACTTGCAGTGCCCTTCCCAATATCCCTACATGTAAAAATCCTACCTGACTTGGAACCCTTCAAATGCCTCCTTCTCCAGGAAGCCCTCCTGTGTCTCCTGCTTAGGTCACTTCTCCCTCCTCTGAGCTCACCTTTGCTTGCTCCTCTGCTAGGGCAGAGGTGATGTTAAAAACTAATTAACTGCTGATACTGCAGGCACACCAAGTAATCAGGAGACCCCTGGCTGGGCTGACCATAACCCTTTAAACAGCTGGACCAGGGGAGGGTAAGAGTGTCCTGGAGAAGGGGAGGCAAGGGGCTATTCCTAACCAGATGGAAGCGTTTCACTCCTTTAACAACTGCAGAACTGAATGCCAGCTTTGCCTGTGACCCCATTATCCACAGGGCCCAGGGACAGCATTTGGGGTCACGCAGACCTGGCTTTGAATCCTGCTTTTGTCCTGCTCTTGCTCACACACACATACGCTTCTTCCAGACCACGAACACCGGGGGCTGGGTCCTCAGGTGGTCCTCCCTCCCCAGGCCCCACGGGCCCCGCGGCCTGAGCCTCCTGGGGTGGGCTTCACTCGCTTCACCTTCTCCCCGAAGATCCTCTGGCAGATTCCGTTCTTGGCTAGCTTCTCCTTGACCTGGCGCGTCAGCTCCAGCGTGTCTACCTCACGGTACATGTAGAGCTCGTACTGCTCGGGGGTCAGGGGCGGCACGGTGGGCTTCAGTGTGCGGGGCACATATGCTGGGTAGTAGGCCAGCCGCCCACCGCTGCCTGCCTCTGGGATGCCCCCCTCAGCCTTGAGCTCACCCACTCTGGGGGGCTCATCCTCACCCCCAGCCGCCTCATCCTCGGGGGCTGCAGGGGCCTCGTCCCCGCGGGGCCAGGCCCGCCCGTTGGGCTGTCCAGAGTAGCCAGAGGAGGAGGAGGAGAGTGAGGGCGAGACAGAGGCATAGGGGCGGCTGAGCAGGCCGCGGTCTGAGGCCCAGTGGTGGTCAAAGTAGCCAGCGTCGCCGATCTCTGACTTGACCTTCCGGATGATGCTCTGCACGAAGGCGGCGGGGGACAGGACTGTGAGGGATGTCTGTGTGGCACTGCTGCTGGTCCCCCCGATGCCACCGCCACCACTGCCACCACCGTCCTCCTGCTTGACACAGGCTGGGGCCCCACTCTGGCTCATGGCAGCCAGCGAGGGCCGCTCTGGGGGTGAGGGGGGCACCGACCGGCCACACGGGCCTGCCTCCATCTCCAGCAGGGCCTGCTGCTGTGCTTGCATCTCACGGCGCGCTTGCTCCAGAATGTTCTTGATGGCATCTTCTGAGGTGCTAGCAGGGGCAGTGCCATTGGTGATGTTCAATGGGGCTGTTGAGTTCTTGGGCTCACCTGTGAGGAGGAGGATAGGGTGGCCAGAAGCCCTTTGTCAAGGCATGACTTGAAGGACAAAGATGTTCATTGCATCAGTACGTATTTATAACAGCAAAATAGTGCAGGCAACATCTATGTCCAACAACTGGGGACTGGTTAAGTAAATTATGGTCCATCAATATGGCAGAATATTAGTCAGCCATTAAAAATCAGGTGGACAGTGAGATTTTACCATATGTGGGTAAAGTGCTCACAGGGATGACATTAAAAAAAAGACTTGCCTTTTGCATGTGCTACAATCCATCTCTGCAAATGTTCAAAGACAAGGAAACACCATAACAAACAAAAGAAGCTGCTTCACTTATTTCAACGGCAAAATAATGGCATGATCCCAAATGCCCATGGAGAAGAACATGGAGAATAAATAGTGGAATGGTCACACAATGGAATACTATACAGTCGTGGTTGTACAACATTGTGAGTGTACTAAATGCTGCTGAAATTGTTCACATTAAAATGGTTAATTCTATGTTATGTGAATTTTTCCTCAATTAAAAAAAAAGTAATACATGCCAACTGTGAAGAGCTAAGAAAGCACAACAAAATTAAGATGCCCTCTAATCTCTCTCCCAGAGGCAACCACGTGAAATATTCTCATGTATTTCCTTCTGGTCTGTTTTCTAACTCCATCCATGGATGATCATATTTGATAGAGGGAGTGTAGTCTGGCTTGTCCCCACTTAGTATCAATATGAGTATTTTTTCCTGTGATCCACCTGAAGCAATATTCTCTGCTTTACTAACCTGATCCCCCACTGTTGGACACTTAGGTTGTTTCTAGTTTGTTACTGTAGTGAATAATGATAAAGGAAGAGCTTGTATATAAATCTTTGTCCCCATTCTGGACATTTTCTTTAATTCCCCAAAGCAGAGCTCTTGAGTTAGCAGCCAGCCACATTCATTTCCTTCCCAGGGGACTGCTAGTTGCTCTGTTTAATATCGGCTCTTGTCAGGCATGTGGGGCAATAACTGTGGCACATATCCTCTTGGTGAACTCTTCACAGACCCTGAATGGAAGCCCCCTGGCTGACCCACTTGTGCAAATGTTTCTTCTGCTGGGATGTTTCCTTTTAAATTTCCCTGCTGCTTTGTTTCTGACCCCCAGGGGAAGAGCACTGTATGGGGAGTCAGGAGACCTGCATTCTCCCTCGGTCTCTGTGTTAACTATGAGCATGTCTCCCATCTCTGGCCTCAGTTGTACTGTTTGTTTAGTGGGGGAGTTAGATTAGATTGTTTCTCATGGTTCTTTTCACCCCAGTATTGTGTTTCATCCACACTTGTAACCTGTGTCTAGCACACAGAAGTCACTTAAAAAATATTTACTAAATGACTGTCTCTTTTGCTATAGGAGCTGACCAACAAGAAATTAATGTGTACACATTGAGGCTGAGTGGATTATATGGGTGGGGCAGTGTAGGCTCCTAGAAGGGTAAGCCTCCTTTGCCTTTCCCAGGGACCAGGTTGGAAGGAGCACCCTTTGGAAATTTGGCTCCCAGCAGCGGAGGCTGGGGAATCGGGACATTTGCTCTGAGTTGCCACCAGGGGGCAGCAGACACTGCGAAATGGAGTGGGAGGTCTCAAGCCAGCATCTGGTTGGAACTGGGAAGTCTGCACTCTGTAGTAGGACACTGTGCTGGACTCAGGGATGTGACTTTGTTCCTGGCTGCAGGATGTTCCCAGACTTGTGGGAGGGACAGCCACATCAGCAAAAGCGTTTGTAACATAAACAAATGCAATAAGACACAAAATAATGATAATGTCAAGTATAAAGATGGTTAAACTTTCAGGACACTTACATGTCAGGCCTCAGGGTATGTGTGTGCCAGGCCTGATCTCATTTATACTCACACAATGTAAAAAAGGAGTACTAATACTGTTCCTATTTTAAAGATGAGAAAATGGAGGCACACAGAAACTAAGTAAACTTGCCCAAGGTCACATAGCCAATAAATGGCAGAGCCAAAAACTTGCAGTCAGGCTAACCGTGGTTTTACTGCACCAAACAATACAAGTAATTATGGGGGATCCAAGGAGGAGCTGTATCCAATCTGTCTGGATGGGGTTGGATGACTTCCTATAGGAGGTGACTTCTGAGTTGATTTGTAAAGTATGAGCAGGAGTTGGGCCAGTGAAATGTGTCTAGGGTAAGGATGGCATTAGGGGTACAGGAAACAGCATGAGAATGGGCATAACTATAAACAGTTCATATGAGAGGCACATAGACAGGTTGGGAAAAGTCAAGACTATAGGGCCTGTAGGCCTTGTTGAGAAGCTGGGATTTTATCTTGAAGGTAACAGGGAGTCATGGAAAGATTCTGAGTAATTATATGACCATGTGTGTGCTTTAGCAAGATCTCTTTGGCATCTGGGTGGAGAATGGGCAGGAGTGGGGCCTAGTGTCATTGGCAAGACCAGTGAAGAGGTTGCATCAACAGTCCCAGCAACTGATGGTAGCGGCTCACTAGGTTGGTGGCAATTGGGGTAGGGAATGGACAGGCTAAAAAAAAAAAAAACAGAGAGTGAATGACCCCAGACAGATTGACTGATTGGCTGCCAGGGATGAGAGGCCAAGGAGCCCACATTTTCTGAGTGAGACCATTCCAGACCAGCTGGTCCCTTGCCCCACACTGGGACCATCTGTGACAGGTTCCCAGTCCCGATTGGTGGGTTTGGGGAGTGGCTGAGAGGTGGAAGACAGTAAGTTCTGTCTCAGTGTGGAGTTTGAGAGGCCAGTGGGGGACCCTGGTGGACACACCTAGCCACAACTGGCGTAGGAACTCTCAAAAGAGTTATGGCCTGGAAAGGGGGCAATTTGGGCATAACTGTTTGCTGGGACTTCCAGGAGTGGATTAGCTCACCTAGGAAGAGTAGGAAAGTCAGAGGGTATGGGGTGGAACTCTGGCAGAACCCTATGTTTGAGAGGGTGATGGAGAAAGCGCACTGTGATAGGCTAAGTAGTAGTCTCCCAAAGATATCCACATCCCAATGCCTGGTACATGTGAGTATGTTACTTTACATGGCTAAGGGGACTGTACAATGTGATTAAAGTTAAGGATCTCGAGATGGGAGATTATCCTGGATCATCTTGTGGCCACAGAATTCCAAGGGTGCCTATAAGAGGGAGGCAAGAGGATCAGAGACCGAAGACGTCATGACGCTGGCCTTGAAGATGGAGGAAGGGGTCACGAGGCGAGGAAGGAGAGCGCTTGTAGAAGCTGGGAAAGGCCAGGGGACGGATTCCTCCCGAGAGCCCCCAGAAGGCATGCAGCCATGCCCACACCCTGACTGCAGCCCTGTCAGGCTGATTTTGGACTTCATACGTGCAGAACCTAAGACGATGAATTTGGGTTGTTTTTAGTCACCTAGCTTGTGGCTGAAGGACAGCACTAGGAGACTAACACAGCGCCCACTGGGCGAGGGCAGAAGGCGTGGTCTGAGAGGGAGGAGGAAGCCAGAACATGTGTCCTTGGCAATTAGAAAGTAGAGGTGTGAGAAGGAGGGCAGGGGGGAGGCTCAGGCCTGTGCGCATTTGACACGCTGCTGCGCGCCTGCCATCACTCCATCTCCTGAGAGCTGAGGGTGAGCCAGAGCAGTGCTGCCGACAGGGCTCCACGGAGAGGATGGCTGGTGGTTGTGCTGCCCAATACGGCTGTTGTTCAGCACCGGAGACATTGGCTGGTGCAGCTGGACAGCTGATGTTGCAATCTCATTTAATTTTAGTTAATTTGAATGGATATGGCCTTATGTGGCTAGCGGTTATCCGTGAATAACATGGACCTGGTGCTTTCCAGGCCTAGACCTTGCTTGGCTGCAGGTTTTAAGAGGCATAGAGGTTCTGACCTGCTTGAAATCCCCTCTGGGGCAGAAGGCCTTGCCTGCGGTGGTCACTCACCCCCCTTCTGAGACTCGATCTCCTTCTTGGCCTGCTCCAGGATGCTCTTGATGGCATCGTCTGAGCCTGTCTCCGGTGTGCGGATTCTCGGGGTGATACTGCCTGGGGGAGGCAAGGAGGCATCTGTTGTGGAGACCCATATGTTGGCAGTCAGCCCTTGGTGGCGGGTGGGGCAAAGGGCTGGTCCTCTCCTCTCTTCGGGGCCTCAGGGCCAGGAAAGTGAGGGCCAGGCCATGAGTCTATATGGCAGGACCACCACTTAGCTGCTCTGTGTGACAAGCCGTGGAACTACAGGTGTTCTGGTTTGCAATAATAATAGAAGAGTAACAGCAGCAGTGATGGCAGCCACTACCACAGCTAACAGCTCTCAAGCATTTACTACATGCCAGGTGCCATGCTGACGCTTTATCCTCATTTAGCTCTCAGGAGGCTGACAGATGGGGAAACTGGGGCACAGGGAAGCAAAGGTGAGTTGCCTGAGGTTACCCAGCGGATGAATGGCACAGCTGATATTCAGACTCAGGTGTTTGTGAAGCCAAAGCTTGGGCCATTTGTATGGATTACCCTAAAATCAAGTTTGACAAGGTTGGTGGTCACCCAGGCCGTCTTATGGAGGGGTAAACCGGGCTGGAAGTGCTCAGGGAGTGCCTGTCAGGGCAGCCCCTGGGGCCTAGCCTTTCCTTACGACTTTCCCTCTGAGCTGTACCACTTGGCTGGGTGGGGTGCAAGAGGCAGCCACAGGCCCCTGGAAGGAGGGAGTGAGTATGTATTTCCTTACTTTACAGAAGGGCAATCTGCGGCCCAGAGAGGCAAAGTTACTTCTTCCACTTCACACAGCTGAGAGGCGGCAGAGCCCTTGCCCTCAGCCGCCAGCCAGCCCTGAGGTCCAGCACCTCGGGGCGGCCCTCACCTCGCTGCCGCACCTGGATGGTCCTCAGAGCCAGCACGTTCTGCTCATCTGACAGGAACTGCTTCATCTTGATGAAGGGCTCTTTGCCCTTCACTGTGAGCTTGCGCCAGGGCTTGGGGCGGGCCAAGATCTCGCTGACTGAGCCCTGCGACAGCCCCAGCACATAGTGGCCAAACACCCGCTGCCCTATGTTGTGTTTGAGCAGCTGCTCCTTCACCTGGAATGCAATCTCCGCCGTGTCTAGTTGCTCCTCTTCTGCTCCGGCCCCTGCCCCAGCTGCACCGCCTCCACCACCATCCACTGGCTCGGGGCCCCCGGGAGGCTCAGGGCCAGGGGCTGGGGTGACAGGGGCTGAGGGGGCCTTGGTGCTGTAGAAGGCTGGGGGGAACACCAGCAGGCCGCCCGCCTCCCCCTTGAAGGCGGCTGGAGGCATCATGTGCTTGGACAACAGTGTGTCCCCTGCCAGTCTCTCCCCCGAAGCCAGGCTGGGGAAGGGGGACAGTGAGAAAGTCCGCGGGCCATCAGGGCCCAGTCCAGGGCCCAGCAGGGGCTGTCCCGGACTTGGGGAAAGGGGATCTTCGGGCCCTGGTGGTGGTGGGAGCTGCAGAGGGGATGGGTAGGACTGCTCCGTGCCCAGAGAGTCCTTGATGGAATCATCCTCTGAAGGGTCCTCCTCTAGAACGTCGAGAGACAGACAGAAGCAGACAATGATGGGCAGAGAGAGACAGAGAGACAGGGGGAGAAATAACAAGAGAGACACACAGAGAAAGAGCCACGAGAGACAGAGATAGTGAAACAGAGGCAGAGAGAAGTAACATAAGAGAAAGAAACCATGCACACAGAGACACACCGAAATAGGCAGAGACAACAAGTCAGCCAGAGACAGAGAGATGGAGGGCAGAGACGGACAGAGGGAAGGGCCAAGGAGATGGAAAGAGAGACACATACACAGCAACAGAAATAGGGGAGAGCGGAAGGGGGAGGAGAGGGCAGGAGGGGCGGAGGAGGGAGGTGCTATAGGTGTCCAGCAGCACTAAGTGCCGCCCGGGCTGTTTCTGCCAGCCACCCCCTCCTGATTCTCCAGTCGCCATCCTTCAGGGCCTGCTCCAAAGTTCTGGGGAGCCCTCCCTCCTACCATCAAGAACACTAGCTGAGCACCTGTTATAGGGCCAGCACTCCAGCCTGGGCTGGGAGTTTGGGTTGATGTCCACCCCAGCAGGAAGACCCATTCCCAGGTGCCCACCTAGCCGGCAGCCGCCAGATCCCACACGTTTGCATTTTCTGAGAGCATGGCACCCACAAAGTAGGCCCCATTACTGCCTGCATTTTATAGATGAAGACATGGAGGCAATACAGAGTCTTGGCTGGGGTCACATGGCTAGAAGGTCAGGGGGTCACAGTGTGGGAAAGAGGCAGGTGCTGGGAAGGTGATGTCCTGGGAAGAGCAATGTCTGCAGGCCATTTCCCCAGGGTCTGCTGCTGAGGGTGCATGTGAACACCCTCCTTGCCCCCTGTGGCCTCTTCCTGCTGCTTATGAAGTCTCAGGGATGTGTGGCACCTTTCAGGGGGCCTTGGGAGGGCCTGAGCGAGTTGTGTGCCCTTGAGTGTGGATGTGGGTACCTTGTGGGACAGCTGCCAGCGGGCTTGGCCGTGGACGGCCCCCAGCTCAGCGCCAGGCATACAGCCAGCGCCGGCGGTGTCCCAGCAATGATGACCCCTTTCTCCACCTCCTGCCCATATGGAAGGCAGTGGGGAAGGAGAAGGCCAGAGACCCAGAGGCAGCCCCCTCCCAGGCCTCTCAGCCCCAAAGCATTCCCCCTCCCCTACCAGGGCTGGCCAAGAGACTGGGTTTTTCCAGAAGGAATTTCTGCGTGGGGAAGAAGGCCTCCTTTGCCAGGATCAGTGAGTCTTCAGGCTTGGCCAGGCCCTGAGGAGACAAGAAGCCAGGCTGAGCGGGCATGGCTGGTGGAAGGCTCTTGGGGGCAGCGGTGGGGACACGCACCTGGGGGAGGTTGCACGTGCTGGAGGCCAGCTTCATGGCTTTCAGGATGCTGCCGGAGGAAGGGGAGAGTCTGAGGCCAGCCAAGCTCCCTGGGCTGGGGGAGGGGCCTTGCAAGAGGCACTCCCACCCATGATCTCCTCACCCGGACCCTGCGTGACGCTGGACCCACTGCAACAACAGGCCTCAGGGAGCAGGCTGCGCAGTGGTGCCCACCTTACCTGGAGGACTGCTGTGAGAACCACCTCCCACACCTCCCATGATCGGCCTGGACTCGCCTGATTACGGCATCAGCCCCCACTGCTGACACCAGGGCTACCTCGCATGTTCCCTATGGGCAGCTCTCGGTGGCAAAGCACGAGGCCTGGCTGAGTTTCAATACCAGCAGAGGGGCCAGTGGGGCGGAGACAAGGGTACCACAAAGTGGGGTAGGGTGGGAGGGAGGAATACAATGAACTTGGCCAAGGGCCCCTTGCTGCCTTCCTAGGCCAAGGGCTGGGGGGGTCTTGGAGCCCCGTCTGCATGGTACCTCAGCTCTGTTTTAATTTCTTCATAGTCAGACTGTGCCTGGAGCTTCTCTTCCAGTTTCTAGAGGAGCAAACATACATGGTGAGATTGGTTCATGCCCTTCTGCCTGGGGACACTGCCTGTCTCCTGCCTGCCCGCCTGCTCCTCCGAGACCCACCTCTATGGCCTCGGACTTGGCTGAGAGCTGCCGCTCCAGGTCTGCGATCTGGCTGGCGGAGGCCTCCTCTAGCTCCTGCAGAGAGCTCTGGAGGTGCTGCACATCCTTCAGCAGCCGCAGGATCTCCCGGTCCTTGGAGGCCAGGGCAGCCTCGAGCCGAGGGCCTGAGCAGAGCGCAAAGTTCACCTTGTCCTGAGGGCAAAGTGGGGCTTTGAGGCGCTGAGAAGTGCGGGGTGGAGGGCTGCAGGGCTGGCTTTCCCATCCCTGAATCCCAAACAAAACGGGAAACTGTCAGTGGTACGGGCCTGCTGCGGGGCCCTCCACGGTCACGGAGCCCCTTCCCATGGGCCCGTGGCTTGCTTCTTCCCACTTCCGAGCCTCTGCTCAGGCCAGTCCTACCAGCCTGGGTGACTTTCCACTATTCATTAAAATAAATCAGGAGGGTGGGAAGGCTTCCTGGAGGAAGATGTGTCTAGACTGTGATAAAGTTCAAGAATAAGTTAATGATTTGGAAAACTGCTTGACAGCATCCATTAAAGGGGAACATATACGTTCCCACTGTTGGTATACATGCAGGAGAAATCCTGGCACCTATGCACCAGGACACATGGACACCAAGGTGGAGGTTCACAGCAGCCCCCTGGTAATAGCCCCAAACTGGAAATCCTCTGCATGCCCACCACCACCAGAATGGACGAAGAGATTGTGGTATATTCACACAACACAGTACTATACAGCCATGAAAATGAGTAACTGACAGCCACACCAGCACAGTACGATGAGTCTCCCGGGTACAGTATGAAGTGAAAGAAGCCAGACACTGAAGCGTGTGTGTGTGGTCCAGTAAGGTCAGAAGCACAAGCTGGCAAACCCATCTATGCTATTAGAAGTCAGAAGCGTGGCTCCCCCTGGGAAGTAGCACCTGGAAGGGAGCAGGCACTGGGGGTGTTCCGCTTGCTGACCTGGAGGCTGGGTGGTTATGGGGTGTGTTCACTCTGAAAACTTCAACATACTGTATGCATGTGATATGCATACTTTTCCTTATGTATGTTATACTTTAATAAAACATTTGTTAAAAAGAACAACAAAAAAAAAGGAAGTAGTTGGGTGAGGAAGTGATAGGAATATGGTGTTCCCAGCAGAGAGAACATCACAGACGAAAGGTTTGGGTTTCCAAGTCAGGCGCAGGTCCTACCCCAGAGGGATGTTCCATTTCATTCCAGGCAGCAAGAGACCCTCCAGGTTAGACATGAGACCTTGCAGACATACCACTTTAGGGGTGGTTCCTTCTTCCTCCTAATTTGCCACCAACCCCGATCCCCATGGCTTCTCCAGGTTTTAGGAAATGGTCTCTTTGTTCTGGATGAAGATGAAGAGGTTGCTATTTGAGGGGACCTGAAGTCAGGCTAGTCTTGAGCTCAATTACAAATGAATCTAAGAAGGATTACAAAGACACACACATGTACCCTCTACCACTACACTATACCCTCCACCCCAACCAACCCTGGCCATTCTTCCTGGGAGATAAATGCCAATTAAAACAGGAAGCGGATGCCATTAACACATTAAATTAATTAGCACTGAGCGTTGCTGTTCCACTGTTGTGCTCAGTAAAGCTCACCCCCCAAACCAGCAAAGTTCCCTGTGGCTGATTAGCACAAACATTTGCTGGGTTCCACGGGGGTTAATTAAGAACCACTGGCAAATTCTCTCTGAGGTGTCCTCATGAACTCTCTTGTCCTCAGTCTCTCTTGTGCTCACTCACTGTGTGTCATGCAGACATCCAGGAACACAACACATACATACTGCCTCCTGAGACAGACACCGGTGGACACGCTTATGGACACAGTACACACTGACACACGTACCTGCCAGAATACTCATGCTGACATGCACTCACTGAGAAATGTGCAGCTGTCAGGAGACATGCATATACGGACATGTCACCATGACACAGAGACTGACATATGTGCTTAAAGAGGCCATGTGCTCAGATGGGCAAAAACACCCCAACACACCCAAATACACTCATAATAATCATTAATAGCATCAAATATTTACTGAGCACAGACTATGAACCAAACACCACTTTAGGTACTTTATATGTAATCTTCTCAATAACTATATAAGGTAGGTCTTGTACAGATAAGGAAACTGAGGCACAGATAGATTAAGGATACAGTTATTTGCTCAAAGGTCATAAAGAGACAACACATACCCAGTAACACATGTTCATAGAGACATATTCCAATATTTAAACAGAAAGATACAGACACATGGGTCTGTGTATCAGGGTGTCAGGTGAAATGAAAATATTGCCAGCCACTTCAGGTTCAAGGTGGAGACTGCAAATTACTCAGAGCAGACCTGTTATTATGTAAGGAATGTGAATGTAATCCCTTATGCAGAGATCTGAAGGTGGCCCAATTTACACATGGGACCCAAGGCTTTCTGAGCCAGCAGCATCATGCTCAGAACAGAAGGGTAGGCTTGGGTGGTTCTGACTAAAATCCCCTGGCAGGAAATGATCCCAGGACCCCAAAGGAAAAGGAAGGAAAGATGCACTGACTAACCAGGACTAACATAGGAACCTCAGGGTTGATGACTAAAGACTGGCCTTTGTAGCATGTGGCTGGATAGGAAACCCCATTGGAATCACCCTGGAATGTTTTGGGAACCAATGGATGATATGACCTCAGATCTTGCTATGTGGCCCCACTGTGGCCTGTCAGGGACTGAGAACCAGCAGGGGGTCCCCACTGCAGTTCCCGCAGCCACCAAGCAGCGTGAGACCAGTTGTCAGCAGCGACACCTGGTGGCAGCCATTAAAACTGCACAGCTGCTCTTGTAATTAAATTCCCCATCCCACCCCCTGCTGCTGGGCATCAATAGGCAGATCCTTTATGGCCCAAGTAAGTTCCTGGCATTCTTGGGCAACTGCGAGTAAGGGCAGTATCCAAAGGAAGGCACTGGACTTTATATTAATGAAGATACATGGAAGCTGGAACTTGAAAAGTTAAAAGAGCTGTGGCTGTATTTTGACCCTCAGCTGGTAAAGCAAGTCTTAGTAAGTAATTATGTTTAACTACACACTTACCTTGGCAATTAGAGATGCTATGCCCACTGTATGCACAGAGACCCAAACACATTCATATGTACAGTTTCACATAGATGCTGATGATCGACCCACAAAATGTCACCCACATATTCATACCCACAAAATGGGCTTTCCCAACCTTTGCCCCTGACTCCCTGCCATCCTTACCCCACTGGGTCCCTGCGGGGAGCAGCAGGCCAGGCGGATGGAGCTGTTGACAGAGGCAAGCTGTTCACGAAGACTTTCTACCTCCCTCTGGGCGGCCTCTGCTCGCTGGGGAGGAGAAGGGTGAGGTGGTTAAGAGGTGAGAGGGGCTACACCAGGTCTGACCCGGGTCCTCGCTACCTCCCGGCACTGGCCCAGGCAGCGGCTGGGGAGGCAGGTCTCCTAGGGCTTGGGGTCCTACTTTCTGGGTCCTGGACCCCTGAGTTGGCTCTGGTTCCTCTGGAGAGCTTGGAACCCCAAGAGGATCCAGAACATTCCCACTCCATCAGGGAAGGAAGGGAGAGGCTGTCTTGATGGGGCTGGCAAGTTTCCACACATTGCCAGGCTTCCGTCTGCCAAGTAAACTTCAGGCCTGGCTAATCAGAAGGCCACTGTTTGGCCACAGCTCCCATGCTACCCAGTGTGGAAGGAGTCCTGGATGGGCATCTATGGAGGCACCTCCCCAGCCCACAAGCTGTAGCAGGCCTGTGGTCAAATTACTTCCTCTCCCTCTCAGATTTCCTTTGTAAAATGGGGCATTGAAATACATCTACTTCAGAGATGTGCTGAAATACATCTAATCAGAATGCCACAGTTTACTGAATTGGGTCTATGGTGGATCTTAACTCTTCAAAAATTTTTAAGAAAAAAGCCTGGAGAGAAGCATCAAATATTAACAATCTTGCCTTGTGGCTTTAGAGAGAAATCTGTATGTTGTCACTTCCTGGTTGTGTGACCTTGGGTAAGAGACATCTTCTCCCCAGCCTCAGTTTTCTAATCTATAAAATGAGGATTATAAAAGCAACTATCTCATAAAGCTGTTTTGCAAAGTAAGTGATCTCATAAATACAACTCAGTAGATATTTTAGCTTGGTGCCTGACACATAGAAATGTGTCAGTAATTTGCTAACTTCATTGACCATTATCAGGGTATATGGGAGCTTGGACCATTATGTGGAAAATTAAAGACAGCTGTGGCTATATTTTAACCTTCAGCTGGTGACTTGAGCCATAGTGATTAAGTTTAACTTACAGTGTGACCTTTCCAATCAAAATGCTTTGCCCACTACATGTACACTGACATCCACACACATCCATGTTCTCATTTTGTTAATTTATTTTTTATTTAATAACTGATTTGTTTATTTATTGGTGTCCTGTCTTGTTCCAGAAATGTTTCAAGTTAGTTTTGTTGGGGAAAGGTTTTAGGTGTGTGGGGTTATAGAGAAAATATTTTTATGTTTCTGAACAATTAGGGCTTTCTGAGTAAATTTGACTGGAACTTGGGATGTGGCCTTAGAAATCAATTTATGACTGATCAGCTGGTGGAACTCCAGAGAGATCTACCTCCCTGGAGGTATGTGTTTACATTTCAAGGGGGGATGAGCCCCCAGACCATGGAGATAACCTCCTGAGTTGTAAATCTGGGTTTCAAGCTACCAGCCTTATCTTCTCCTAGAGAGACGTAATTATGTTCCAAACTCTAAAAGCCCAGGGTCCTTACCCTTTCTGTTCATCCTGACACTTGGGAGCTAGATTTTGCTCCCTCTTTCATAAGGTCCCTCTCCTACATAGCCTCCCAGATTCCTACCTGTGGGGTTCCTGGCTTCTAGTACAAACTCTGGCGCATGTAGGATGACATCTGCTTCTCCACCCCAGGGGCAAGGATTGGAACAAACTGGAATGGCTGTTACTATGTGATAATATTGATCTGCTCTGCTGCAGAGTCCTCTTGTTCACATTCAAGATCCTATTAATAACTACAAATAAAAAACCTAACATGATGACATTTATTTTCTTCTTCCTACTTTGTATAATGAGCAGGTTTTAGTTTTATACTTAGAAAAAAATGAACATTAAAAAAAATGCTCCCTATTCAAACTACTCTAAGACCTCTTTTCTTTTCTTAAGCCCATTTGATTGCCAAAGACCCAGAAGTCTGATGGCACGCAGTACTGGGGTGGTTACGGGGAAGCAGGCCCTCTCATACCTTGTCGGAGGAAGTATAAATTGGCTCAACACCATGGAGGGCAGTTTGGCCACATCTGCCAAATTAGAAATACAGACATCCCTTGCCCAGCAATTCCATTTCTAGGAATTTACCCTATATATTGGCATGTGCATGTCTGAAATATCTGTATGGGGTTATTCACTGCAGTATTGATGATGATGGTAAAAGACTGGAAATACCATAAATGTTCATCACTAGGGGACTGGTTAGACCAGGGGTTGGTGAACTACAGCCTGCTGCCTGTTTCTGTAAATAAAGTTTTACTGGAATACAGCCATGCTCATTCATTTCCATATTGTCCATGCTTTCACATATGGCAAAGTTAAATAATTGTGACAAAGACCTGCAAAGCTGAAAATATTTACTCTTTGACCTTTTACTGGAAGTTTGCCATTGCCTGGCTTAGATGATGGTTCATCCATGTCGTGTAATACTACGAAGCTCTAAAACAGAAGACGCTACATATACAGATGTGGAATGAGCTCTAACATATATATATGGAAAACATAAGGTTCGTGAGAGTATGTGTAGTATGTTATCATTTTTGTTTTAAAAAGGGGTAAAAATAGATGCATGCATATGGGCCTGTGAATGGATCTCTAGAAGGAGACCCCAGTAACTGGTAAGCAAGGCAGCCGGAGAGAGGGAAAGTGGTAGGCCCCGATCTGGGAAGGAGGCGGAGCTCCCTGGGGATGCTCCTCTGTACCTTTTGGAGCTGTGAACTATGTAACTGGATTACCTACTCAGAAGATTAACCTAAAAATGCTGTTCTTTTCCAACTTTCCTCTGCAGGAGGGAGCACTGGCCTTTATGCTTGCAGAGCTATGCCCCTGGACCTTAGCCTCTGTGCTGTCTTCTGCCTGGAATGCCCTGCTTCAAGAGAACAGTGCCTGGGCTTTAAAAGGCAGCTGCAAAGTGTTCTCCACAAGATCTCCCTCAGCTACTCCCAGGGAGATGACCACTTGCTCTGTCACATCACTGGCCCTCCTGGCTGTGCCCCTACCGGCTGCAGGCATTGCAGTGAGGTGGGGAAAGGTGTGGTGGGTCCCAGAGACTCCAGGCAGGACTGCATGGCCACACCTCACCTTCTTTCAACGTCCTCCCAGCTTTGCCCACCAGATGTCAACACATCTGAAGCCAGAGGCAGGCAGGATGCAGGAACCCCATTACATCCCTGAAAATGGAGACTAGGATTGGCTAACGGGCTTGCAGGACCCAGGCTGGGACTCGAAGATGGGGCCCCAGGGAAGACTGGGCTCCACCCAGGGCATGGCTGATCTGGCTGGGATCGGTTGAGGAGGCCAGGGGAGACCGGGTGGGGAGGGAAGGAGGGACAGCAGCAGCCCGAGCCTGCCCCTCCTCACCTCCCTTGGCTCCGTGGGGCATGGCTCCTCGCCCAGCCTGGTTGGGAGAGGCCCAGGTCCCAGCTTGTCCTGTGGGCTGGGATCACTAGGCTCTGCTCTGCTTCCCTCCTTCTCCTGTCTGGAGACACCTCCTGCACAGCGAGCCACCTGGGAAGGGCGCCCATTATTCTGTGAAGGCTGCCTCCTGGCCTTTAACCAGACAGTTCTCTGGCCTGGAATGCCATCCCTTTACATTCCCGATTTTGGTTGACTGTCAGGTCTTAACTCCATGGCTTTTCCTCTGGGATGTCTTCCCGGATCCAGGAGTCTGGGTCTGGGGGGCCCCTTCCCTGACCATTGCTGTCTGGATCACTCTACTGAGCATTCTATCTGTATCCTCACCCTCCCTCTTCTGGCAGCTCAGGGACAGCGTCCCAGACATCTCCCAGGCCCAGCAGTCAGCATGGCATGTAGTTCAGTAAGTATTGACTAAGTTCAGTTCCTTCCTCCTGGCCCGACCCAAGACCCCCACCGTAGGCAGAAGGAGTGCCCAGCACCATCCCCTTACCTGATTTGCTTTCTCCAGGTTGGTCATGATCAGGCCAACTTCATCTGCCCTGAGACGGAAAGATGAGGCCCTGAGGAAGGGCTTCTGGCAGCCACCAGGGCCCCTGCCTATCCTGACACCCCCAGCCCCTGCCTGCCCCCAAAGGTCTCAGAACGGAGGGTGAGGAGGCTGCCTTCCACCCTTCCTGTTGGAGAAGCCAGGCTTGGGGGAAAAGAATCCAGGCTGCGGGAAACTGGGAATGGGGCCTCGGCACTGCAGCTTTTCCAGGCAGCTGGCTTCCCATCTCCCTGAAGGGTCCACTCTGAAGCTGCCCATGGAGATACACCCCCCAGCCTTTGTCCCTGTTCTGCCTTCCACCTGGAATGCCCTTCCTCAAAAGAATAGGCTCCTGAGCTTTAAAATTCTGCTCCAAAGTGTCCTCCCAGGAGGCTTCCCTCAACTACCCTGTGGTGGTCGTTTGTTTATTTTGCTGCGCCACCTGCCAGATTGCCAGCCCCTAGGGAGTCAGGACAGGCCTCATCCACTTTTGTCGCCCCTCTGCCCAGTTGTGGGTGGGGACCACAGGAGGCCTGAGGGGAGCATTTGGTGACTAGAAGCCACACGTGTGCCTCCTGCATGTGCAGGGCCTGCTTTTGCACAACTGTTCCCACTGCCCAGAGCACCCTTGCTGGTGTTCTTCCCACGGCCTCCCCCTTCTCATCTGCTAGGTCTCACTCTGAAAGTCACCTCCTCAGGAAGGCCTCCCTGACTGCTTAGGATAATAGAACCCGCCTTCCCTGTTCTTTCCTTTGTAGCATTTACCGTGTGCCCAGACAGTGCCGGGCATATAGTAGGTGCTCAGTTGCTCAATAATGTCTATGAATGAATGGATTTATCACTGTACAGCATCAGGTACTGTCTCTTCGACTGAGGAGGAGGACAGGGTCATATTCAGATGTTTCTTCCAGGGACCCAGCACAGCACTGGGTAAACAGGAGGTGCTAAGTAAGTGTTTGTGCAATTAGAGATGTGTTAAAGCCTAAAGAAATACTGAGTCTACAGTTATTTAGGAGCATGACACTCAGCCCTGAGTGCTGGACTGTGCAGCTGGGGAGTAGGGACAGCCTCTGGAGGCTAGGGTGAGGCAGAGGCCCCTGCCCAGCAGACCCTGCTCAGTGACCCAGAATGACATTTATAGTATGTGGTGCGCTAATGGCACAGCAAATGCGCTGTGCGCTGTTGGGTGGGGTGCAGAAGGTGCTTAAGGAAACAAGCGCCTCGGGCAGAGAAGTCAGAGGGAAGGCAGAAAGAAGAGGCTTGTCTGGGAGGAGGATCTCCTCACTTGCTTTCATTTTCTTCACAGCCTTCATCATCATCTAGCGCACCATTTATTTTATTTATCTTGTTTACTCATGTCTTCCTCACTAGAAAGTAAATTCCAGAAGGGCAGGGAGTTTTGTCCATTTTGTTCACTGTTGTGTCCCTATAACAGTGCCTGGCACACAGCAGTTGGCTCCACAAACATATAGAATAAATGAATAAATAAGTGAATGAAAGAAAGGATAAAGTAATGACCACCAAAATACTGTCCTAGAAATGTCCCAGAATACAGATATTATTCCTTCCACACCAATTTTAAGGGCAATCATTGATTGACACACATTTCTCCATGTGAGCACTAAGCACCTACAGGCGTCATCTAGTGTCATTCACAGCAGCCTAGGTGTTAATGCCACTTACTCTGACCTGTGACTGTCAGCGTGATGTGTCTACTTGACTGGCTGTAATGCCCAGTTACTCAATCACACTCATCGAGGGGGTTGCTGTGAAGGTGTTCTGTAGATGGGGTTAACATCTATAATCAGTTGATGTTAAGTAAAGGAGAATAGTCTCAATAATGTGGGCGGGCCTCATCTAATCAGTTGAAGGTCTTAAGAACGAAACAGAGGAAGAAGAAATTCTGCCTCAAAACTGCAGCACTGGCAGCTGCCTGATAGTTTCCAGCCTGCTGGCTCCTCCACTAATTCAGAATTGCAAGCCCCAACTGTACGAGCTAAGTCCTTGGAATATGCCTCTTACTCAATTAAAATAAATCCTCTGGAGAACACTAATATACCAAAATTAGCCCCATTTTCCAGATGGGGAAATTGAGGCTCAGAGAGGTGAAGTGACATGCCCAGGGCCAGCTGCTGAGCTGCTGAGGTGGGGCTTGAACCCAGGCCTGCATCTCCATCTTCAGCCTGCACCTGGATTCCCAGGGGGCCCACTTCTGTGCCAGGTGGGGCAGCAGGAGCCCACCCGCCCCTCTCCAACTCACTTTTGTTTCTCTGTCTCATTTCTCTGCAGCAAAGTTTCTGTCAGGAGGGCTTTGCTGGGAATGCTCGGGAGGCGGCTCCCCTCAGTCAGCGTGGGCCCAGCCGGAGACGTCCCCTCTCTCTGCTCTGGAGGAGAAAAAGAGGGAAAACCACTCATCGCTGGGAGCAGCATGACAGCCAGAGCCACTTTCTACAAACCAGATCGATTGATAGTGCTGGGGCAAGAATCAATTTCCCAAACTCAGGCGTTGGAGAGAGAGCAGCTGTCGGGACCTGCTGTCACTGTGGTCGCCGGGTTGCAGCCGTGGAGAGCGTGTGTGCTCGAAAGTCCAGTTCCCGTCGTGCTAGCCTCAGACAGCACGTGCAGAGCCTTCCTCTGCCCTTTCCGACGTGGTCCTGCCTCTTTGGCTGTCATCTTTTTTTAAAAGTTGTAGTGAAATATATATAACATAATATTCACCATTTTAATGTGTACAATTCATTTACATTTAGCATATTCACTATCTTGTGCAAAAATTACCACTAATTCCAGAACACTGTTATCATCCCAAAAGGAAATCCATCTCCATTAAGCAGTCACTTCCATTCACCCTCCCACAGCCCCTGGCAATCACGGATCTGCATATTATGGGTATTTCATATCACTGGAATCATAGTATATGTCCTTTTGTGACTAGCTTCTTTCACTTAGGATACTGTTTCTGAGTGTTTTTCCTTTCTCTTCCCAAACTCCCTTTTTCCTCTGCTGATTCTAGACCACCTGAGCCTTGTTCACGGCCTCACTGCCCTCTCCCACTCTTCCTCCTGGTCCGACAAGGTGGGAGCGCTGCATGAGGCCAGATACATACCTGAATGTAGGACCTTGATCTTCTCCTCTGCCTCCCCCAGTCTGGCTGCCAAAGTGATCTGTACTTCTTGAAGGCCCCTGCGGAGAGGCCAGGGCTGCTCAGGGGCTCTCCTCACCCCCTCGTGGGTGGGCCTTGCCTGGGCCCCTGAGTCTGGCTATGCTGGCCTCCTATCCACCCCGCACCCCACCCCATCCCACCGCCTGCTCCCTGTAATCTGCACTTCTTTTTCATGAGTCCTCCAACATGGTATTCTGGAATTTGGCTGCCCTGCTGTTTTATTGACTGTGTGGCTCCCATTACGGCTGATTCGGTTAAATTTCGGGCCCTCCATCAGCCAGCAACCTTTGAGCTTCAGTTTCCTCATCTATAGAATGGAGTCTCTGAAGGGGCCTGCTCAGTAGGGAGCACGAAGCACTCTCAGCAGGTTCTTGGCACTCAGTATTTCCTCAATATCCTTAGTTACTGTTACTGTCCCTGGGGAGATATTTTTTCCTCTCTCTGTGGCAGGAGTTCAGGATGCCCAGCCAGCCCATCGGGGCCTGGCTCAGGTGTGGTGCAAGTGTCTCAGCAGAGAAAGGGGGGCTCTGGCTGGACTAGGGGAGGGTTTTGCAGAGCCTGAGCCTTACATTGGCTAGCCCAGAGACTCTGGGAAAGGAGCCACTCCCCCACCCTTTACCACATTCTGCCCCAGCACCCTGACTCATGCCACTCCAGCCACACTTGTCTCCTTGCTGTTCTGGCACACCAGGCATGTTCCTACCTCAGGGCCTTTGCACTGGCTGTTCCCTCTGCCTGTAACAGTGTTCCCCTGTATTTCTGCAGGCCTTACTCCCTCACTTCCTGAGGGCTTTGCTCACTTTCTCAGTGAAGCCTCTCCCAACACCCTATTTAAAACTTCACCATCAATCTCATCTTCCTCCTCACTTGCTTTCATTTTCTTCACAGCCTTCATCATCATCTAGCGCACCATTTATTTTATTTATCTTGTTTACTCATGTCTTCCTCACTAGAAAGTAAATTCCAGAAGGGCAGGGAGTTTTGTCCATTTTGTTCACTGTTGTGTCCCTATAACAGTGCCTGGCACACAGCAGTTGGCTCCACAAACATATAGAATGAATGAATAAATAAGTGAATGAAAGAAAGGATAAAGTAATGACCACCAAAATACTGTCCTAGAAATGTCCCAGAATACAGATATTATTCCTTCCACACCAATTTTAAGGGCAATCATTGATTGACACACATTTCTCCATGTGAGCACTAAGCACCTACAGGCGTCATCTAGTGTCATTCACAGCAGCCTAGGTGTTAATGCCACTTACTCTGACCTGTGACTGTCAGCGTGATGTGTCTACTTGACTGGCTGTAATGCCCAGTTACTCAATCACACTCATCGAGGGGGTTGCTGTGAAGGTGTTCTGTAGATGGGGTTAACATCTATAATCAGTTGATGTTAAGTAAAGGAGAATAGTCTCAATAATGTGGGCGGGCCTCATCTAATCAGTTGAAGGTCTTAAGAACGAAACAGAGGAAGAAGAAATTCTGCCTCAAAACTGCAGCACTGGCAGCTGCCTGATAGTTTCCAGCCTGCTGGCTCCTTCACTAATTCAGAATTGCAAGCCCCAACTGTACGAGCTAAGTCCTTGGAATATGCCTCTTACTCAATTAAAATAAATCCTCTGGAGAACACTAATACACCAAAATTAGCCCCATTTTCCAGATGGGGAAACTGAGGCTCAGAGAGGTGAAGTGACATGCCCAGGGCCAGCTGCTGAGCTGCTGAGGTGGGGCTTGAACCCAGGCCTGCATCTCCATCTTCAGCCTGCACCTGGATTCCCAGGGGGCCCACTTCTGTGCCAGGTGGGGCAGCAGGAGCCCACCCGCCCCTCTCCAACTCACTTTTGTTTCTCTGTCTCATTTCTCTGCAGCAAAGTTTCTGTCAGGAGGGCTTTGCTGGGAATGCTCGGGAGGCGGCTCCCCTCAGTCAGCGTGGGCCCAGCCGGAGACGTCCCCTCTCTCTGCTCTGGAGGAGAAAAAGAGGGAAAACCACTCATCGCTGGGAGCAGCATGACAGCCAGAGCCACTTTCTACAAACCAGATCGATTGATAGTGCTGGGGCAAGAATCAATTTCCCAAACTCAGGCGTCGGAGAGAGAGCAGCTGTCGGGACCTGCTGTCACTGTGGTCGCCGGGTTGCAGCCGCGGAGAGCGTGTGTGCTCGAAAGTCCAGTTCCCGTCGTGCTAGCCTCAGACAGCACGTGCAGAGCCTTCCTCTGCCCTTTCCGACGTGGTCCTGCCTCTTTGGCTGTCATCTTTTTTTAAAAGTTGTAGTGAAATATATATAACATAATATTCACCATTTTAATGTGTACAATTCATTTACATTTAGCATATTCACTATCTTGTGCAAAAATTACCACTAATTCCAGAACACTGTTATCATCCCAAAAGGAAATCCATCTCCATTAAGCAGTCACTTCCATTCACCCTCCCACAGCCCCTGGCAATCACGGATCTGCATATTATGAGTATTTCATATCACTGGAATCATAGTATATGTCCTTTTGTGACTAGCTTCTTTCACTTAGGATACTGTTTCTGAGGTTCATCCAGGTTGTAGCATGTGGCAGACTTTCACTCCTTTCTATGGCTAAATATTCTATTTTATGACTAGGCCACGTTTTGGTCCTCCATTATCTGTCAACGGACATTTGGCCATTTGGCCATTGTAAATAATGCTGCTATAAACACTGTGTACATGTTTTTGTTTGAGCACCTGTTTTCAATTCTTTGGGGGCTATACCTAGGAGTGGAATTGCTGGGTCATAGGTCACTCTAGGTTTAACTTACTAAAGACCCACTGCACTGTTTTCCCCTCCCACAGTGGATGGCACACCCTCAGATACTCAGTTGTGGCCCGCCTCACCTGTAGGTGCCCCCAGGCAGGTCCTGTGGTGGCTCAGTATATGCCTTTGGCACTGAATTCACCATGGGAAGAGAGGGTGCTCAGGGGCTGGCAGTTGAGGGTAGGTAGCTCAAGAATCCCAAAATCCAGGCTCCCAACTTTGGGCCCAAATGACTCAGTTAAATTCCATTATTAAACTCCTGCTAAGAGCCTGGCATGGGAGGGTGAGTGCAGAGCCGAGCGGTTTGCAGAGTGAGCCCCTTCAGTGGATGACAGAGTGTTCAGAGCCTGGCTCACTCTCACAAATGTGCACATGCACACATGGGAATGTTCCAGGTGCTGAGGCCACAACAGTGAACAACAAGACATGGTCTGACCATCACGATGCAGAGTAGCAAGTGCCCCAAAGGAGAGATGTGGCCCAAGGCCAAGGTCACTTAGCCATCTGTTGCCTCTGACTCAGTTTCCCCATGTAAAGAAAAGGGCCAGTGACACCTCAGAAGGTAGATGCCAGGAGAGAGTGGGATGCTGTGTGAAAGGCACATGTCACAGAGCAAACACTCTCAAGAGGTGGTTTCTACAACTATTCCTCTTCTTACAGAGGAAAGTTCAAACTTCAAAAGGACCTCAGAGGAAAGAAATGACAGTTTTGCCGGGGGACCTCAGAGGCTTTAGAGAGGTGCCTACACTTGAGCTGAGACTGAAGAACTGCCAACTTCTGGCTTGTCAGGGAAGCTGGAAAGGCATTCTGGGTGCAGGAACAGAGTTGGCAAAGTGCTGTATTTTAATCACTGTGAATCACGTGGAGGTAAGGAAGGGAGTTGCAAAATGGGGAGTGTGTGAGAGTGGTCAACTTTTCCTTTGACAGGCCTCAGCCCATTTTGTCTTCCCCACAACTTCAGAGGGCAGACCAGGCCAAATGTCAGTAAAATTGTATTGGAACACAGCCATGAAACTTGTTTACATATTCTCTATGGCTGCTTTCACACGGAGTTGAGTAGTTATGACAGAAACTGCATGGCCTGCAAAGCCTGAAATAATTACTCTTTGGCCCTTTACAGAAAAAAGATCATCTGCTAACCTCTGAGGTAAATTCTACTCATTCATTCCTTAGACAAGTTATCCCTACACCTGACTCTTCCCCTCTTCTCTGCTTAATTTTTTTCCCAAAGCCTTTCCCACTACCTAAAATACTATAATTTTATTGGATGACAATCAGTTTCTTCCCTAGAAGGTCAGTGCCCTAAGGGCAGGGATTTTTGTCTGCTTTGCCCTGGCTGTGTCCCCAGTGCCTATAATAGTGCCTGGCCTGCAGCTCAATAAATACCCAAGACTTAGATGGTTACCAATGGCCTTCAGGTGCCTGTCTGCCCCTGTCTGTGGAGACCTACCTTACCTACCAGAGGTAACCACCATGTCGAATTTTGCTCATCATTCTCTTGCTTTTAAACATTTTAATCACTATATATACACTACATGTGTAGCTCTGCTAGCTTGTCTCATTCTGGTACTGAGACAGTGTTGTGTTCACGACATCCTGTTGCTGTCTCTTCCTGGACACATAGTAAGACTACATTCCTGGGGCTCCTGTTCAGCTGGGTGTGGCCACATGACTGAGTATTGCCCAGTGGGATATGGCTGGAAGTAATGTGTACCACTTTTAGGCCTGGACCCCATAGACCTCTGTGTGACCCTTCACATTCTTTCTCTGCCTTTTGGCCAGTTGTCAACAGTTACTGTGACTCTGGATGTCATGTATTGAAGATGGCAGGACCACCGGACCACCACAGCTTGGGTGCCTGAGTGACTGTGTGGAGCACTCCCCGCAAACATCCCCATCCTTCAAATACATTAAGCCTCTCAGATTTGGAGTTGGTCTGTTCCAGCAGTAGTACCTTAACCTATTCTGCACCTAAAATGGTAAAGTTGAGTTCCCTGCCTCACCCCCACCCACCCAAAAGGGTGGCCAAGTTTGGCTGCTGAAGGTCTACTATCCATTTATTTATTATAGATGTGTCCCGTGAAGGCCTTATCAGTACCTTTGGGGCCGAGGAGCTCAGGGTGCCTCTTCCACGAAATGTGGAGGTCTCGCCGCGGCTGCCCACTGGGGTTGAAGCTGGGGGTCTGCAGTCTGTCGTCTAGGCTGCGCACTGCCTCAAACACAGGCACGGGATCTGCACAGAGTGAGGAAGATGGGGGAGGTGGGGGCCCTAGGGACTGGGGGATGCCCAGGCTGAGGTTGTGGGGCCTGGCAGGTCCCTCCACGGGGAGCATGCGTGGGGAGGCCATCCACAAGGGCTGTCTGAAGTTGCTCTGATGGCTTAGGAGGGCAACGTGGACTTTCTGCTTCATGGAGAAGCTTCCTCAGGCACCTGCTCAGGGGTGTGTGTGCCATCCACATGGGTGTGGGTGTCCTGCCCAGCTGGGAATAACAACTGTCATCATGACTGTGCCTTCTGGATTCTATGATGCTATCTGTGGAGGCCATGGGATTGTCTTGCATGCCTCCAACCACAGGGAGTGTCTGAGTAAGGACCCCACTCTGAAATCCACCAGTGTGAGGCCAGCCTTCCCAGAATGGGCCTGCAGGAAGCAGGACTACAGGCTGACTCCTGGGGGAACGTCAGACTCTCTGAGGGACAAGGACTTCCCCTAGGCCTTGCCCAGTGCTTCTTTAGGCTGTGGGTGGTCTGGCTTCTACCCAGTTCCCCCGGCACTTTTCCCAGCACCCTGTTTTCCTTCACCTGCCTTTCCCTAATAGCATCCTTGCACATATAATCCTTGGGGTGTTTCTCAGTGGACTTGGACCAATACCATCATTGGTGACATGAGCGGTCAATTAAATAATGGTTTTTCTGAGGGTGAAAACACACCTCTCCATTTTCCAAAAGGTTCAAAGTGAGGAAGGTGCATTTCCCTCCACCTGGAATTCTGCACCTCCCACCCCCACCCCCTTCACCTAGGGAGCACTTCCTTCTCCTTCAGATCTAGAATCCAGCCCCTCTTCTGCCAGGCAGCTTTCCCCAACTCCCTACCTAAGGCAGGTGCTAAGAGTATGTGGATAATGCCAGGGGTCGGGGTGTGGCATCTTCCAGGTCACAAAGCTAGTCCATGGGAATGGGCTCCCATGATGCTCCCAGCACCCCCTGGAGGCTGGCTTGGCTCTGATTCATTTCACAGATGAGGGAACTGAGGCTTAGGGAGGCCAGGGGACTTGCTAAGGGGGAGGCAAGACTCAAAACCGGATCTCTTTCTCAGATGCCACAAAAGCTTCCTATTCCAGTGGTGTGGACATTTCAACCCCCGCAGCAGCAGGCAGGGCTCATGGGGGCCTAGGAGAGCCAGGGCCTCCTTGCTTCATGCCAAGGGGCTTGGGTCTGGCCACAGTCTTTTCCTTGGCACCAGAACTCTGCTCTTTCTGGTCCCTCCCTAGCATCCCCCTGGGCACTGCTGTCTGCTGTGGGGCAGAGGGCTTCAGAACATGGGCCCTAGCGGCAGACATCTGGGGTCTAGGTCTGATCCATACTTGTTTCTCAGGATTGCTTCGTGACTTGGCAAGTGAATCCATCTCTCTATGCTTCACCGTAAAAGTTCTGACCTCACTGGGCTGTGATGAGGATCCATGTAAAGTTCTTAATACAATGCCTGGTACTTGGTTGGCTCAGAACAAATGGAAGCCCTGGATATTCCTGCCTTTCTGAGCTCCGGTCACACTGGCCTTCTTCTCAGTCCCTCAAATGCTTCTTCACACCCCGGAGTCTTTGTACAGGCAGAAGCCTTTTCCGGGAGGCTTTCCTTCCTTTCCCTTTAACCTCTATCAGCTAGTTAATGCTCACTTGTTTTTCATATTCCACTTCTTCCAGGAGGCCTTCCTTGACTAGTCAGTCCTCTGATATGAGCTCCTCCAGCTGCCTACATCTATCCTTCACAGTACTCACTGAACTTAAAATTTTCAGTGATTAGCATATCCATCTAATTAACACCCACTGGACTGCTGACGCCATGACAAGGCAAGGCTGGAACCACATCTGTTTTTGCTCCCTCACTGGACCCCTTGTGGGTCAATGAAGCCTGACACACAGTCCAACCCAATAAATACCTGCAAACGGAAGGAGCAGGCTAGTGCCTGTACAGGGGGACCTTCAGGTCCGGCTGGAACAAGGTTGTCCTTGAGTTTTTCCCTTGCATTTTGTCCCTTCCCTCCTGCCTGTTTGCTGAGGTGCCAGGAGCGCTGACAATGGGCGTTCGGGTGGAGGTAAGCAGGTGTGGGGACTTTCCTCTGTCAGCACTCCCCCCACGCCCGTCATTAGGCTGGGCCTGCTCAGCGGGGTATGCCATTATGTCTCCCCGGGCTGATGTAATTATACATTGACATAATTAACCCAGCAAGCACATTAGGCAGGCCAGCTAAAAATTCATCTATAATTATTTGTTGTGTGCATGCTAATGAGTCCATCTGCACTGCCTTTGTACAACATGGACAAATTAATTTACAAGTCTGAATTTTTTAATAAGTTCAAGGAAAGGCTTCCCATTGTGTCCTGGTTTTTGAGAAAGGAAGAAAAAGGTGACAAGCACTTGCCGGGGTCAGAGAAGTTAGATAAACATGGGAGGCTGCAGCTCTGAGTGGCCCCAGAGGGCCATGGAGGTCTGGCTCTGGCTCCAAGGAGGTGGAAAAGACCCAGCTTGTGGCTCAGGGGCTGGCTGGCCACAAGCCCATCCAAACCAAGTGATGACACTCGGGTGATAAAGGATGTCATTCATCCCATTCTACAGGGTCAGGGGTTGATGTTTCATTCTGTTCAGAGGCCCTGCGGGTCACTCCCTGCTGCCTTGTGCTGTCTGTCCAGGGGAAGCTGGCCTCAGGTGGTTTCCTGGGGAGGCTGGGGGCATGGGGTTGGCTGGACACTTAATACTCGTTCCAAGGCCCCCTCCTTCACCTTTGTTTGCCAGCATAGCGCAGAACACAGTGGGTAAGCTCACAGAATCTGAAGTCCAGCTCTGGGTCCAAATCCCATGAGGCCTTGAGCATGGTTTCCCCACTTACAAAGTGGGAAAATATAACAGTTCTTACTTCCCAGGAATTATTGGGAAGATTAAACAAAGATACGGAGAGAAACTGCTGGTGTCAGCTCTGGCTCCAAATTGGCCATGTGACATCTGGACAGTTAACCTCTCAGAGCTTCCATTTTCTCATCTGCAAAATGGGGCTCTGTGTAGGGCATGGTTGCAAGGACTGGATGAGAGAGCGTGTACAGAGAATTGCACTGTGGTAGGGGCACAACAGGGCCTGGTAAGTGTTGGTTGCTGTTATCACTCTGAGAGGCGGCAGCACGCCTGGTCTCGTGGCATTCTGGGGCCAGCTGTTGGCATGGGGGTGCTCTGTGGAGTCAAGACAGGTTATGGCCTCATATATGTTCATCTGTCACTGGGAGATTCAGAATACAATAATCCTGCTTTAACTCCACTCTGGGACCCAAAAATTCCAGCTTAGAAAGTTTCACTGGGGAGGAACTTAGCAGGTCAGTTTTGCCCGACAGTCTTACCACAGCGCACAGGTGGGGAAAGCAGGGTCCAGTGGCTTCCTGAAGTCTGCCAGTGAGTTGGTGGCAGGGCTGCGATGGGCCCTTGGGCTTCTTCTTCCCACACTCTGTTGCCTCCTGGATCATCAATTTGAGCGAAAAAGTGGGTGGGGGTGAGGGGGTGTTACAATGACTCAGCGGAAGTCAGCCTGTGACTGCATCCTAACAGCCAAAGCACTTTAAATGGACTGGAATTCATTAATTCTTTATCATAACATTATGAAGTAGGTACTGCTGTGTTCCCATTTTATAGATTGGGAAACTGAGGCACAGCATGGGGGTGAAGTCACTTCTGCAAGGTGAGACCCTGTAAGGTAGATGCTGGTGTCTGTCTTCCAGAAAAGGAAACAAGGTCTCAGAGAAGAGATGCCATGTGCCCAAGGCCCCTGAGCTCAGAAGTGGCAGAGGTGGAATTTGAACCCAGGGTGCCAGGTGATTCTCTGCAGTGGGCCAAGCTGCCTTGAGGCAGGGCACAGGGGACATTTTACTATTATGCTAAAAGAAGGAGACTGAGAGCTTTGTTCCTGCCTTATTACTGGGTTGCTGAGTGACCTTGAATGAAGCACCAGACCCCTCTGGGCTCCCCACTGAAATTCCTACTCCAAGTATATCAACGCTGGATGTCAACTAGATAGGGTGGGGTCTTGCAGAAGTGAGTGGTTTAGGCCTTGGGCCTGTCCCTTAGAGCTGCAATGCTCAGGGAGGGTGCTCATTAAATGCCTTTACAGCTAAACTTGACACAAGAGGTACAAATGTTATGAATCCTCCAAATTCCCAAATCACACTCAGATAAAGGGGGAGGGGGCCAGGCTGGGAGGTCAAGGGCCAGCTTCTGGCTGTGACACTTTCTGGGAAAGTCACTTAGGCACTGGCCTCAGTTTCCCCATCAGTAAAATGGGGATAACAACAGTGCCTACTGCATAGGGCCACACAGGGATTCCATGAGCACGTTGAGCCACAGGCAATGCCTAGCCTGGCACCCAGAAGGCTCTAAGTGACTATTGCCCTTATTTTTATTGTTGTGACTTGTGGCAGCCAAGGAACTTGCCCCCCAGGTCTCCCTTTAAGAGAGAACCTCCTGGTGGGATGCACCAGGTGCTGGGCCCGTGGATCTGCTGCAGCAATAGCTCGGAGGCCATGCTGCCGGCGGCTGCTCCTAGTCAATGACTGAGGCCACTCCTGCTGATGCTGGGACAGGCAGCCCTCACATTACGGATGGAACTGAGCCCCTCATATGCATATGCCCAAGCCCTAACCCCTGATGTGACTGTACTGAAGATGGACCTTTAAGGAGGTAATCTAGGTTAAATGAGGACATAAGGGTGAGGCTCTGGTTCCCGCAGGACTGGTGTCCTTACAAGAAGACACGCCAGAGTTCTCTTTTTCCACATATGCGCAGAGAGGCCATGTGAAGACAGCAAAGGCAGCCATCTGCAAGCCAGGAAGAGGTCTCACCAGAAACTAACTCTGCCGGCCCCTTGATTTAGACTGTCAGCCTCCAGAACTATGAGAAATACATTAAGCCATCTGGTCCGTGGTATTATAGCAGTCTGAGCAGACTGGTACATCCTGCTTTGGGGGGCCCCGCTTAG